AGGAGGGGGGAGAGGAGGGGGGGGAGGAGAGGGGGGAGGAGGGGGGAGGAGGAGGGGGAGGAGGAGGGGGGGGAGGGGGGGGAGGAGGGGGGGGAGGAGAGGAGGGGGGAGAGAGGGAGGGGGGGAGGAGGGGAGAGGAGGGGGGAGGAGGGGGAGAGGAGGGGGGAGAGGAGAGGAGGGGGGGAGAGGAGAGGGGGAGAGGAGGGGGGGAGAGAGGAGGGGGGGAGGGGGGAGAGGAGGGGGGGAGGGGGGGGGGAGGAGGGGGGGGGAGTGGAGGCGGGGGGGAGGAGGGGAGAGGAGGGGAGAGGAGGGGGGAGGGGGGGGAGGGAGGGGGGGAGGAGAGGAGGGGGGGGGAGAGGAGGGGGGGGAGGAGAGGGGGGAGAGGAGGGGGAGAGGAGGGGGGGGAGGGGGAGGAGGGGGGGAGGAGAGGAGGGGGGAGAGGAGGGGGGGAGGAGAGGGGGAGAGGAGGGGGCAGAGGAGGGGGGAGAGGAGGGGGGAGGAGGGGAGGAGGAGGGGGAGAGGAGGGGGGGAGGAGAGGAGGGGGGAGGAGAGGAGGGGGGGAGGAGAGGGGGGAGAGGAGGGGGGAGAGGAGGAGGGGGTGAGGAGGGAGGAGGGGGGGGAGAGGAGGGGGAGAGGAGGGGGGGGAGAGGAGGGGGGAGAGGAGGCGGGGGAGGAGGGGGAGAGGAGGGGGGGGGAGAGGCAGGGAGGAGGCAGAAAGCGAGAATGGAGGGGGAAGTGAAGAGAGAGAGTCGACAGAGGTGCAGGGGGATAACGGAGTGGAGGGATGTTGAGAGGGAGGGAGGGAGACAGAAAAGGAAGCAACAGCGGAGAGTGAAAGTGTTGGACAAAGGAGAGCGAGGGGGCGGTAGGGGAATTGGAAGGGTGGTAGAGAGGGGCGGTGGTGGGGGGGTAAAATTTAATTATTTAATTACTTTCAGGAAAACAATTGCGAAACATTACTGCGGCGCGATATTTGCTTTTTGGGATTCGTGCAAAACCGGTGACCGTATTCACTGAACACACTCCGCACGACAAACACCCGCCTTTGTCAATCCACTGCTGGACGAAGGCCTGAGTCTTCTTGGTTCTTTCGGTAAAGTCACGTAGAATGGAAATAATAAAAGAATAAAAATAAAACATAATAAATGTTTCATTTTTATTATTTTATTATTGGCAAAAATAAAACATTTATTATGTTTTATTTTTATTATTTTATAATTTCCATTCTACGTGACTTTACCGAAAGAACCAAGAAGATGAATCCCTGCAGTCACGAAAGCTTTAAATTGAAATTGAAGGCCTGAGTCTACAGCACATTCCCATATATATGTATATACATATTGTTCGTAGCCGGTCGCGGCTGAGTGAGCAACTTAGAGGCCGTCCGTAAATGACGTCACGCGATTTTGGACGATTTTTGACCCCCCCCCCCCCCCCCTTCGACACACGGCGTCACAAAAAGTCAGACCCCCCCCCCCTCAAATATGACGTCACAAAGCTCTGCCCCCCCCCCCCAAAACCATATTTCTATTTTGGAAATAAAACATGCTTCAAATCGCTTATTTTGCGAAATTTTTTTCGAAAAATGTCATCGTACGTATGTACGTTGAACTTCTTTCGCGCCGTACGTTGCCAACCGCGCTAGTCGGAGGTGTGGCGAAAGGACAACAAACTAAACACACACACATCAACAACAACAAGAAGCAGCGTTGGCATCTGCCGGCCTTGAAGTTCTCGGCAGCTGCAGTCTTTGCACGACGAGTGTTACCACTAAAGACACGAACAAGCAATGAAGCCCCGTGCCATAACCGGCGACTCGTTACGCTCTTCACCTGAAGAAGGCCTGAGTGGTATTGTGGTTTATTCTTTCTAGATTTGAAGCTTTCGTGACTGCAAGGATTCATATTCTTAGGTTTTTTCGGTAAAGTCACGTAGGTAAAAAATTAAAATTTAATAAAAGTAAAATAAAAATCACGACGTTTCGGAGGCAACACAATATACTCTTTGGTTCTTTCGCTAAAGTCACGTAGGTATAAAATAAAATAAATCACGACGTTTCGGGCGCAACACAAGCGTGCGTCATCAGGTGGGAAAGCGTGATAGATTCTTTAATATTTATGCTTTTTTATATACTTGAATATAAAATTGTTCACGATTCGACTCGAAAATCTTTTTGTTTAATCTATAACACGGATCTATATTTTTTCAAACATTTCAAATACGTATGAATGTATGCACAATAACTACATTGTATTCATTGCTAACGTATTTCAGACGCAATGAAAATGATACTTTTTTATTCCCGATTTGGGGAAGTGGGAAAACCTCACACATTTATTGTTGTATGTTGAACTTCTTTCGCACCGTACGTATGTGGAACTTACGGGTAGCGGTTAGCGCGCTGCGCTACGAACCTGGTGAACCGAGTTCGATTCCCGCTCACGGCCCAACAGTGACGATTAATTATCTGAACCAGTCCTGCGCTTCCCCTAGGTCGACTCAGCCTCAAATGAGTACCCGGTGCGGTGCGTAAAAAATCTCCACTAGAGAGACAAAGGAGGCCGGGCGTGGTGCTGGCCACCCACCCCCTCGTGTGCCGTTCCGGCCTTCATAGTAGCTCGCCAACAGCACTTGTCCCAACAGTCAGTGGATCGGCCTTTTCACGTACATCTCTTACATATCTTATGTATATATACACAGAGAGCAGGAGAACAAAGCTCCACTGCCATCTACGTCCCACCACGTAGGTCCACCACCGCATAGCAACCTGTGTCTGCATGCTGATCAACCCATCCAATCAGCTTGCCAGGCTCAACGCAGCTTAGCTTGCGAGATATCGCGATATCTGGCGAGATCTGGCGGGTGACTCGGTTACAGCTCGTGGATTTACAGAGGCTCTGTGAACTATTAACGTCTTAAGCAAGCAGCGTAATCAGCAATCGCACGCAGCACCCTCTCGTGAACGAGTCTTGAGACCCGGCGAGGTGCATGGGTAGAGCGAGGGGGGCTTGGAGCGCGCTCGCCGCCGACCTCACCTGTTTAACGGAGAAGAGCAGCGCCGAGGAGGTCATGATGAGCCGAGTGGGACTTGAGTAGCGACGAGGAGAAGCGGAGGAGGGCGTCGAGTCGGAGTCTTGAGGTCCACGAATCGTCGATGTCCTCTCCGTCTAGGAGTTCGCCCCTTATGTACCCGCGTCTCTCACGTGACTGCAATTTGCGGGATAATAAATTGGTCATGGTGGGGGGGGTGGGGGGGTGAGAGGCGTGGAGATCAGTTGCTCAAAAAGTTCAAAAAAAGAAGCAAATCTGCAAAACAAAGAGTCGAAGCTTGGTCGGGTGACGTCGTCGTTGTCTGTGTCCCGCGGAATTTCCAGTGCTTACTCGCGCGCTGATTGGCTCGTCTCGTTTCCGACATCAACGTACGTCACAGTTGACTAACCCCCCCCCCCGCCGCTCGCAACACCCCCGCCCACGCCGCCCCCTCATAGCCCGTGGCAGACAGATCGACGCACTGACTGAATGTGCAAGACGCGAGTTGGATTCTGAAGCGAGTGGATTTGGAAATCCTTTCCACGGTTACGTCATTTCCAAGATGTGGTGAAGGTATAGGGAAGCAGAGGGCAGGAGGGAGGGGTCGGTGGTGGTGGGGGGTGGTGGGGGTGTGTGGTGGGGGGAATGTGGTGGGCGGTGGTGGGGGGGTGTGGTTGAGGTGGGGGGCGGTGGGAGGAGTGTGAGAGGTTCGGGGCGGTGGGTGGGTGTGTGGGGGAAGTTGAATATAAGGGACCTGGGTGCTGGAAATCGCAGAGACGCGGGAGTTTGGAAATTCCCACTCCGCGTCTTTAAGACTCCGCGCTCAGAGCCGCGCCGCGTCCCTCTCGTGTCGAGCCCTGATCCCTGCAGTCGTGCGCCTGCCCCATCACTCGTCGACGCCTGCCAAATCAGTCGAATCATCAGCGTCGCTCCGTGTCGCGTCTGTCTGCGCCTCGCGTCGCGTTTTTGCGCAGCGTCTCTGTGTCACGTCTCGTGCCGCGTCTCTGTGTCGCGTCTCTGCGCAGTGTCTCGTGCCGCCTCTCTGTGCGTGTCGCGTGTCGCGTCTCTGTGCGTGTCGCGTGTCGCGTCTCTGTGCGTGTCGCGTGTCGCGTCTCTGTGCATGTCGCGTCTCTGCGCAGTGTCTCTGTGTCACGTCTCGTGTCGCGTCTGCCTGCGTGTCGCGTGTCGCGTCTCTGTGCGTGTCGCGTATCTCCGCGTGTCGCGATGTCCGGCACGGGGGGTGAGAGCCAGGGTTTCGCCGCCCTGCTCTACAGCGAGCCCGGCGTGCTCGGCCTCCTCGCCAACGCCGTGAGTGCGCTGCTCGTGGCCATGCACAACTTCTCGACGCACCGCGCTGCCGCGCAACTCTCGCCCACCAACAACATCCTGTCCGGTACGGGGGGCGGGGGGTGACGGCGACGATGACAATGAAAGTGGTTTTGATGATGAGCATAATGACAGCGGTGGTATCATGACAATGATGATGTTGGTGGCTTTGATTGATAACGATGGTCGTGGGGGTGGATTTACGACGGAGATGATGATGATGGTGTTTGTGAAAGTGGTTTAAATGATGATGGAGAAGGTTGAATGACAATGAGCGTGTGGATTGTTTTGTTGATGGTAATGAAAGTGGTTTTAATGATGAGCATGATAGACGTGGTTTGATGACAATGATGATGTTGGTGATTGATAACGATGATCGTGGGGGTGGATTAACGATGGTGATGATGATGGTGATGATGTGGTTATGGAAGTCTTTAATGATGATGATAGAGATGGTTTCATGACAATGATGATGTTGGTGGTTTTGATTGATGTCGATGATTGTGGAGGTGGTTTTACGATGGTGATGATGTTAATGATGGTGGCTGTGGAAGTGTTGATAATGATGATGGAGGCGGTTAAATGACAATGATCGTGTGGATTGTTGTGTTAATGATGACGATGATGATGATGGAGGTTGTTTTTATTATCATCAACTTGATTTTGCTTAACCAGGTGAGACCTCAAAAGACCACGATGAGTCTCATTTTCAAGAGTGACCTGAGACATTCGTCTGCCAGTAGGGGGGGCGGGGGGGGCGGCTGTTATAGCTGTGTGTATAAACCCAATTGAGTAGTGTCCGGAAAAGTTTAACATTTTAAACATTTGTGCCGTTACACTGACACACACTGACCTCATCCCACCCACCCCTGCCCCTCCATTTCTTCCCTCCCCTCCCATTTCCTAACCCCTACGACACACCCGCCATCGTGGTCACCCCTTCCTCATCCTTTCCACGCCCCCTGCCATGTCAATAACACTACTTTTTTTGTTCATACCGTTTTTTTTTTATCATGTTAAGCACCTTGATCAAAGGGTGCTCTATAATTATAAAACAATACAAGAGGTAAGATTCCTTGCACGAAGGCCCATGGCACACCTCGCTACGCCGTGCATGACCACAATCATGCTTATGGAAGAAGTGGTTGAAACGATGATGATGAGGATGATCGTAATTTGGAAGCGTAGTTAAATTAATGACCATGGTGATGATACTGGAGGTGGTTTTGATTATGGTTGTGGTGATTGTTGTGATCATTACGGTGGTGATGATGTTGATCATAGGTGATGATGATGGTGGTAGTGGTAGTTTTAATCATGACGACGACGATGTTGATCGTGAATTTGGTTTCAACGACGATGGCGAATTTTCTTTGAATGATGGTGTAGAGGTGGCCGTGGTGGATGCAATGCAAATAACGACGATGATGATGATTATGGTGACGGAGTTAGAGGGGTCATTATGACCAAACGGTGATGACGGAGGAGGAGGTGGTGCCTTGTGCGGTTGATCATTCACATGGCGATTGATGGAGGTACGGCAAAGATGAAAAAACGGAAAACAATTGAACATGTAACGCGTTGTGATCACAGGCGTCATGAAAGACGATCAAATGCATGCTGCAGAACATAATTTTTGTTGTAAATGTGAAATTATTGGTTTTGTGTCGACACATCTTGCGAGTTCGCTCACTGCTGCCTTGAACCCCGCGAACGGAGTTCACGGCTAACATCAGTGGCGTACGATTTCTGAACCGATCCTGGTCGCACACTCCAAACCTTTACCAAAATGCACCGGCCATGCAGCGTGGTGAAGTATGGTCAAACCACCCGCCCCCCACCACCGCCCCGCTACACTGCGTGAACAGCAACGAAATGACAAAAGGTTGCGCATTACATTTTGACAAATGTTTGTATTAATTCTAGATTTGAAGCTTTCGTGACTGCAAGGATTCATACTCTTAGGTTTTTTCGGTAAAGTCACGTAGGTAAAAAATAATACAATTAAAATTAATAAAATTAATAATAATAAAATAATAAATCACGACGTTTCGGAGGCAACACAAGTCTCCGTCATCAGGTGGGACCGTCACAGCCAGATTCACTGTATCAAGTGATTTATTATTTTATTTTTATTATTACTTTTATAATTTTTTTTTTACATACGTGACTTTACCGAAAAAACCTAAGAGTATAAATGTTTGTATTTCTGTAAAGGAGGTACGACCCCGTCTCGGGCCAGTATTAAACTGCAGCAATGATCTCACGTGATGTACCGCACATGACTTGTCATTCATTAGAGCTGGGATGCCCCGGTGAGATTTAAGATACTCGTTGGCCCGTGGTCGTATTTATGGAATTCTAGTTTTTTTTTCTGCCAGCTGCACTTATTCATGTGCCTCCACAGTGGCGAAATGTTAACTACTTCACCTGGCATACAGGAGGTCGTGGGTTCGATCCCGACCCTGACGCCTGCTGTATATTTATCATTTGCATGTTCTCCCCGTGGTCGCCTCGATTTTCCTCCGAGTTCTCCGGTTTTTCCCTACACATTTAGGAACATCCGTTTTAGAGTATTTGTCTACGGTACATATCCACGTGATAAGCCACTTCGTTGAGTTGTCATTTGTGGTCAGGCCGCTTCTGTAAAAGAGCTATATAGCTCAGTGGGCCGTATCTGGTAAAATAAACATATCTAATTTAAGTTACATAGAGTATAGTATGATAGCCTGGTTGACCCATGTCTGAGCGATAGGATCAGACTTTACAATGAAGCAGGTCCCTTCTCCAAATGAGCACCTCCGGGGCAAATATTTCTACTTTAAATGTTCACATGATGAGCCACTTATCTGGTTAAATAAAATACATATTCTTAGGTTTTTTTCGGTGAAAAATTTAAATTAATAAAAGTAAAATAAAATAAAAATCACGACGTTTCGGAGGCAACGCAAGCTTCGTCACGATGACCAACATCCCTTGTGTTGCCTCCGAAACGTCGTGATTTTTATTTTATTTTTTATTTTACTTTTATTAATTTTGATTTTTTTACCTACGTGACTTTACCGAAAAAAACTAATAATATTAATCCTTGCAGTCACGAAAGCTTCAAATCTAGAAATAAAATAGTTGTTGAAATTTATAGATTCCACACTTTTATTTCCTTTAAATAACAAGGGAGGTTCATGGTTGAAACACTCCTCTATATACAAATGTGTTTTCACCAGGCCCAACTCGCCCTTTCTCTTGAGCTCTCCGCCCCCTTCCGCTTTTGGCCCCACCCGTTATCTTTAGGCCCCAAACCCTTCCTCCGGACACGGGCATGAGCTTGTGTCTTTTCAAGGCAGTGCCGCTTTTTATTCCGCCACGAGACTTCGCCGCAACTCTGGGCTAAAAGCCAAGTTGACTTGAGGGAGAGACAGCCGAGTGGCAGAGGTCGCAAACGGGTTTTGATTCCTTACCCGTACCCATACCCGGCCGCACCAGGGTCGCAAATGGGTACCCGTACCCGTACCCGGCCGGGCACGGGTACCCGTTCCCCACCCGTACCCTAACCGAAATGAGTGACAAACGGTTACTCACCAGTGACTCACGGCATACCCGTACCCGTACCCGGCCGCACCAGGGTCGCAAACGGGTACCCGTACCCGTACCCGGCCGGGTAGCCGGGTATCGGGTAGGGTACGGGTATCGGGTACCCAGTTGCGACCTCTGCTGAGTGGGTAGTGCTGGAGGTGCGGGGATGGGCTGTGTGCGTGCAACAGGAGGTAGTTGGAGGGGATTGGCATGGTAGGGGTGGGTGGAGACAGGGGTGGACAATACGTAGGACTTCTACAGCATCACGATGACCAACATCCCTCTTAGAGCAAGAATATATAATCTCCCTACCTACTGTCCTTCTCACCTCTACCCCTATGGTCCCCACTCACAACTACCTCCTGATGTACAAGCACGCTCCCCCCTCGTCCCCCCCCCCCACCACACTGACGCTGTCTCTCACTCAAATTAACTTTGCTTTTGCCCAGAGTTGCCAAGTCTCACAGGGAATGATAAAAAATCGGCATTGCCTTTCAACACAAGCCCATATCCAGAGGAAAGTGTGGGGTCCAAACAAGTAGGGGGCAGAGCCTGAGCAGGAAGTGGTGGGGCACAAACAGGAAGTGGTGGGGCACAAACAGGAAGGGGTGGGGCACAAACAGGAAGGGGTGGGGCACAAACAGGAAGTGGTGGGGCACAAACAGGAAGTGGTGGGGCACAAACAGGAAGAAGCGGGGCACAAACAGGAAGTGGTGTGGCACAAACAGGAAGGGGCGGGGCACAAACAGGAAGGGGTGGGGCACAAACAGGAAGGGGTGAGGCACAAACAGGAAGTGGTGGGGCACAAACAGGAAGGGGTGCGGCACAAACAGGAAGTGGTGTGGCACAAACAGGAAGTGGCGGGGCACAAACAGGAAGGGGCGGGGCACAAACAGGAAGCGGTGGGGCACAAACAGGAAGGGGCGGGGCACAAACAGGAAGGGGCGGGGCACAAACAGGAAGGGGTGGGGCACAAACAGGAAAGGGTGGGGCACAAACAGGAAGGGGCGGGGCACAAACAGGAAGGGGCGGGGCACAAACAGGAAGCGGTGGGGCACAAACAGGAAGGGGCGGGGCACAAACAGGAAGGGGTGCGGCACAAACAGGAAGTGGTGGGGCACAAACAGGAAGGGGCGGGGCACAAACAGGAAGGGGTGCGGCACAAGCAGGAAGGGGCGGGGCACAAACAGGAAGTGGTGCGGCACAAACAGGAAGTGGTGGGGCACAAACAGGAAGGAGCGGGGCTGTAAAAATGAATTGGCGGATCTAAAAACAAGTAACCTCCAATTAAATAGGCCTCCCCCAAAAAATGCTAATTTGGAATTCTGAAGATATGACAGTGACTATTTTGTATCCATGCTCGTGGGAAATTTTTCAAAATTCAGTAAATTTGGACCATGAAATCATCACGCATAGTCATAATGAAGGTTTTTGGAATATACCGCGTAGGTGTAAATTTGTTGTAACCCTCCACAAACCGACACAGCCAATTAGTAAGGGATTTGTCACGTAAACAAAACGCCAATTAGTTACCACTTCAGCCCACCAGTGTTTTGGAGAGTAAATGTTGTGGATTTACTCCCCAACTAATTGGCTGTGTCCGGTGGTGGAGGGTTACGACACATTTATACTTACACGGTCTAACCCACAAATCTATATTATTAATAATATTGGTCGTGAAAACCTACGTGTATCAGGCATTGTCTATTTTTTATATCACACAATCTGTAAAACAGATCGTGGTATATATATATACGGTTAATACATCTGCAGTGTTAACCAGGACGGCTGCCGGGCGTGGAACCACGAAAGTCTGCAACACTTGTCACATCCTCAACCAACAGTCGTGTCGCCACACAGTGCTTTCAACCACACAACATCCCAACTCTGCCCACCCCCCCCACTCGTCTCTCACCTTTCGCCATCTCTCCTCCCCTCCCTCCACATCTCCAGGCGTGCACCTGATCCTCATTGGCGGCATGACGCAGCTGGTGTCCGGCCTCCTGACCTTCCGCAAGTTTGACCACCTGGGTGGCACGGCCTTTCTGGCCTTCGCCGCACTCTGGAGCAGCTTCGGAGCATCCCGAATCATCTCCGGCGTCATGACCACCGCCGCTGCCACCAACTCCTCCAATATGACGAGTCTCGTGTACGATCACGGCTTGATAGTCATCAGCAACACGACGGAACCGACCATAGAAGTGTCACACACTGCCGTGGCGAGCCTCGTGGCGTACATCTGCGTGTCGGCCATCCTTGCCTTCTGCTCCGCCACCGCCAACTACATCATGCCGCCCGTGTTCGGCACCATCACGATCGTGCTGGTGTTCGAGGCCGTGCTGGCCGCGTACCCGCTGGGCTGGGCGGCCCCTGTGGCGGGCTTCTTCGAGATGATCATCCTCGCCGCGGGCCTCTACGGCTCCGTGGCACTACTGCTCAAGGGCATCACGCAGCGCTACGTGCTCCCGGGCTTCGGCAACGCGCTCTTTAACGTCCTGCTGCTGGGTACCGGCAGGGCGGCGAGCGGCGGTGGTGGCAGTGGGGGCGGTGGCGGCGCGGGTGGCAACGAGCGCAAGAAGAACACCAAGTACGCCGAGCCCATGGCGCTCTGCTGTCTCTGCGACGTCGTCGCCGCCGTGATTTTCGCCTTCTACTGCTTCGGGTTCCCGCACACGTTCACGGCGGGCGCGCTCTGGCTCAGCGTCAACTCCGCGCCGCAGCTGCTCGCCGCCTACTACGCGTTCCTGCGCGAGGACGCGTACCACGGGGCCAAGTCGGTGCTGCGCTGCATCTTCTGGCTGGTGCACGCGTGGCAAGAATTCGTGGTGTCCACCGTGGTGGGCACGGGCGAGCTGGACTCGGCGCAGCTGGCGATGGTGGGCGACTGGTTCCTGCTGGTGGCGGCGGTCGTGCTGCTGCTCGTGTCGCTGGACAGGGACGTCCTGGAGACCGCCGAGAGTTCGTCCTTCGCGCTGCTCGCCGTGGCGGCCATCCCGCAGATACCGACGAGGGCGCGCTACGCGTTCCTGGGCGCCGCGTGCTGCGTGCACGCCGCCGTGAACCTGTACGCGACGTTCGCCCGGCTCATCAACTCCATCGCCGAGAAGCCGCTCGTCCCCATCGGAGCCGTGCCCCTCGCCTCGCAGCGCCTGCGGGCCTTCCTGGGCGCGCTCCGAAGGTCCTGCTGCGGCAGCGGAAGCAGCAGCAGCAGCAACGAGACGGGCAACAACCAGCCCGGCCCCTCCATGGCGCAGCTGTCAGACGCCGCGTTCTACCTGTGCAACGGCGTGGCCGCGATGTCCGCGCTGCACTCGACGGAGCCGCTCCGCGCTCGCCTCTCCCTGCCCTGGGTGCTGCTGCCCGGAGCTCTGCTGCAGCTGTTCGTGGCCCGGGTTGGACTACTGCGTCCAGCGTCCAGTGGATCCGTGATGCCCTTCTGCTACGCGGCCTTCTGGGCTGTGTGGACTTGGCTGCGGCTGGCGGGTGAGTGGTGGTGATCACCTCCCAATCAACCGGAGGCGAGGAATCAACAGGAGGCTGGGGGGTGGCCTATACCCCCACTGTAGATGAACATATGTAGAGGGACACAGGCAAGGCTGATGAGGAAAATGTCACTTGTGATCTGCTGTCCCAGTTTGTTGGCTAAAGTTGTCCCATGGAACACAGTTATCTATTCGGTTACTTTATTTCCTGAGCGGATAATGATGCTAGCACGTTTGTAGAAGTGATTGGAAGGCGTGGGACAGATCATCTCAACAAGAACAATAGGAGGCTACCAGATGTTTGTGCAGCCAATGGGTTCGTAATCGCCAACACGCTTTTGCATCACTTGGGTGGATGGCTAATCACAAAAGAGAACATCTGCTGGACTATATAGTGATGGAACAGCAAATACAAGTCCATATCCTTGACACACAAAAATGAGGACAACGAAATTGCCACAGTTGTCCGCGATTCCAAATCACTCGTTAAATCCATTAAAAAGTGTCACTTGCAGTGCTGCCCCTATTGCCATTGTTAGGTGGAAGAATGTGTGTTGTGATCTCTGATTCTGAGGGTCAGGCCTGCAGATTCGTAGGGAATTCGGTGTGATCTTCGTGGAAGACAGATCTCAGAGCCGAAACAACGTTAGCACCACGTGGTTTTCACACCTGATGATGATTGCTTGTGTTGCAATCGAAACGTCGTGAGAATTTTATTGTTTTATTTTGATTCTTTTATTATTTCCCTTCGACATGACTTTACCGAAAGAACCAAGAATATGAATCCCTGCAGTCACGAAAGCTTTAAATCGAGACGTTGAGTATATTGACAGTGCTGATGATGATGATGATGCTGATTATTGATGATGGTTTTCCAGGATCCCCCCTCCAGGTCCCTGATAATGAAATTGACGGCTTCATGGCAGGAGCGATCTCCGCGCTCGTCATCAACACCTTCTTGATACTTGTGGGTAAGTGGACACTGGCACTGGATAGGAAGTCTCCTTCATGCGCGGTTCGTCCACTAGGGGCGTTGGGGCGATACCCCACAAAGCAGCCGGAGATGTGAAATTATTTTTCTAATAAAAATACTTTTCTACAAATTGTTTAGTTGTGTTTAAAAAAAGATGTAAATAGTAATGATTCTGATAATTGGTTTTTTTACCCTTTTATCTGTCAACAAAACTGACACCTTTTTTACAAGGAGTTATGTTTGCATAGACCACAATACCTGCAGTCATAATGCAAACAAAAAACACAACTCTGATAATGTATGCACTGTCCTTGAAGTTGATTGGTCCACACCCGAGACAGCTTTTCTTAGAGCCTAGTCTCACATGGTGTTAGACCAGATGACGCCAAAAGGCGTGCAACTCAAAAACAGCGGTGTATTATTGTGCACATTTTTATGTCCTGGGAAGACTTAGATAATTTCGTGCGCCTTTTGGCGTCATCTGGTCCAACACCATGTGTACTCTAACTGCACTTTCCTCGAGGTGATGCTGCGGCGGGATAATGCACACGCTGTCTTGTGACCCCGTGACCCCTATCTTCCCGATTCCCCCCCCCCCACCACCACAGCCGTGTACGGGAACCTCGTCCTCCTCTTCCACACGCTCGTCATGCAGCTCCTCGTCATCTGCCTCCTCCTCTTCACACTCAAGAGCCTCCCCCAGCCACTGGAGGGTGAGGACGACGAAGATGACACAGCTAGCAGTGCACCTGTAAAGACAACATCCATCAACACAACTGATCTCCGCACATCACTGATCACTTGTCGATGATGATCGTCGCTGACCATCACAGACCATCGCTGAAATTTGCTCACAACCACTGGTCATCAGTTATCCCTGTCTCGCCGATGAAGATGTGCGCGCAAAGTGGTGCGTGCTTAAATCCATCAGAATCTCAAAGCGCCTAATTTCATCTCAACCATCCATTTGCCCTGTGGCAAATTGTAGCCAAGGGAACCCACAGTGGCAGCTATCCCTGTGTGGCACAAGGCATACACGGCATCGGCTTGCCAAGTCGCTGACATGAGTTTGCCAGTAAGGAGGCAATGCAAAAAAGACGATACGTACTCATCACTGATCATCAATGAGCTTCCCTGCTCACCCATCATCACCACGGGTCATCGCTCACACCTCCCGCCCCCCTCCCCCCCTTCCCAGACGTGGTGCTGGCGCTGCTGGCGCTCAGCTGTGCATACGGGACACTCGCCTCGGTGTCGAACTGCGTCTTCGAGAGGCAGCTGCTGCCCCTGGGACGCGCCCTGCTGCGGGTGAGCAGGACACCACGGGGAGGCATGGGGACACACGGGGCGACATAGCGACACGTGGACATGGGGAGACACGGGGACACAGGGACACGGGGAGACACGGGAACAGAGTGACCCGGAGACATGGGGGCAAGGAGACACAAGGACAGGGGATAGAGAAATATAACATGTTAGACATGGAGACAGTGCCCATTGTAGGCTGTGCCAAACCCATTTCACATTACCTACTATAATCACCCAGCAATGTCTGTCCGTCCCTCGCGTGACGTCACTCCACATGAGGCCCACCCCTCCCCCGCGTGACGTCACTCCACATGAGGCCCACCCCCCGCGTGACGTCACTCCACATGATGCCCACCCCCCCTCATTAATATTCAAGAGTGGGTGGATTTTTACACGAACGCAGAGGAAGGTCGAGCTGAATTAAATAATTTATTACGCAAAGTCGCTTAAAATCTGACGTTTCTTTACAGAAAATGACGGTAAAAAAAAAAATCTAAGCAGCACACTGCTACATCCGTGCGTGACGTCACTGCAAAAGAAGCCACCCCTCCACAATACCCATGAGGAGGTGACGTCACTCCACATGCTGCACCTCTCCCCAATAACCATTAGTTAGCGGGTGACGTCGCTCCACATGGGGAAACCCCCCCCCCCCTCATTAATAATCATGAGCTGAACAATTTTTCTATTGAATATTTCGGATTTGCTGCAATATACACCCGTCCTTGGACGGGCAAAAAAGCTAGTCTTTATTGAATGAATGAAAGAGTCATGGATGATGAATTCGTAAATTAATGAATTATTCGATTGTAACGAATGAATCAATTCGCATGCGCCGTGCCCCCCTCTCCTCACCCCCCATGCGCCCCACTCCCCGCCCACAGACCCGTGCCACCCGTGACCCCGCGGCCCCCCCGTGCGTGACCCCCGTGTCGCGGCGCACGAGCGGCCTGCGCGAGATCGCGGCTCTGCTGGGGGGCGGCGCCGTGTGCGGCGTCCCCACGGACACCGTGTACGCGCTCGCCGCCTCGTGCCGACACCCGGGGGCCATCCAGCGCATCTACGCCATCAAGGTACTCGCGGGGGGGGGGGGGCTACTCGCCGGGGGGGGGTACTCGTAGAACTTTGCGGGCTAACGGCACCTACCGCCGTCTAGGTTCGAGGTCAGGGGTTAGCAAGCCGGAAAATGGCGATAAGAGAAATTTGTTTAGAATTCGGTAAAACAACAAAAGGTAAGTCAGTGTCGATCGAGCCGCAGGTTGCCCAGCCCCTGTTCTAGGTGTAATAACACGCTGGAGACGACTTGTGGAATCGGTCCTTTTATTTCACTTCTTGCAGTTCACAAACACTCCCCGTTGCTGGCAGGCAACGGGAAGCGGGCAGACAGCCACCAGAGACCCACCGCCACATGGCACCCGGAGCCCCACTCGCGCGTGGCCCCTCTCTCTCTCTTCGTTCCGTGTCTGACCACGTGTCTCTCCTCTCTCCCCTTATTTAATGCCTGGGTCACATGGTACACTCCAGCGAATCCTCAATAGCCTGCGCCGAATGTTCCAGATTCCCCATCAACTCCCGGGACCACGCCCCTGACTTGTCTTCCCATTGGCTGAGGCCAAGACCAGCAAAACCAATCACCTAGCTGACATCCCGTGATCACGCCGAGTCCATGCTCCCAGGCTCTCCCCCCATTGGCTGTAAAGCGGCACCGGCAAAGTCGATCACCACGTGAATCCGACATAGGCTCTTATTACATAGGTACTCGCACAGGTCTCGCGTCGTGCTCAGAGTGCTCCCGTAGTGCTCGCAGCACTCCCTGGGTACCCCGCACTGGACGAGATCACTCCCCCACAGTCCAACTTTAGGGGGCGAGGGGAGGGGTGGAGAGGGGGTGGGGTGGGGGTCCTCCACTGATGACCCGCGAGCAAAGATGATTAAATGGTTCTCTGTTCTGTTTGCCCCCCCTGCACCCCCCCTGCACCCCCCCCCCTGCACCCCCCCTGCACCCCCCCCCCCCCGCCCTGCACCCCCCCCTGCACCCCCCCCCCGCCCTGCAGGACCGGCCCCAGGAGAAGCCCGTGTGCATCTGCATCTCGAGCCTGGAGCAGATCGCATTCGTGCGCCCCCCGTTCAGCCCCCTGCTCTGGGAGTTCATGAGCAGCGTCTACCCGGGGGGCATCAGCTGCATCGTGCCCAAGGGGGACTGGCTCCTGCGCCTCGGTAACCTGCACTGCTGATGAGCCTCGCGACGCGCGGTGCCGGTGGCCGGTGCTGCTGGTGCTGCTGGTTATGATGATGATAATGATGATGGTGGTGGTCATGATGGAGGTGGCTTTGATGGTGATGTTCATGATGACGATGATGATAGTGGCAGCAGCGGTGTTGAGTCTGATAACACTGCTGCTGCTGCTGTCCTTGTTGCTGTACTGACCTCCCCCCTCCCTACCTCCGTGTGCCCAGGTGTGGGGGAAGCGTACGACCTGGTGGGCACAGCAGACAGCATCATGATCCGCGTGCCGGACAGCACCGTGGCGTCACACCTCGTGTCCATGACAGGGCCCATCGCCATCACCTCGGCCAACCCGAGCGGGGAGCCCGATAGCACCCACCACGACATGGTGGTCCGGTGAGCAGTACAGCAACAAGGACGCAGCAGCCACAACCACTACCATCACCACCACAACACACACACAGTGACAGCACCCACCACAGCATTGTGGTCCGGTGAGCAGTACAGCAACAAGGACGCAGCAGCCACAACCACTACCACCTCCACCACCACCACAACACACACTCACGGCGGCAGCACCCGCCGGAGCGGGTCTGTGCCGCGCTCGCTCCGCTCCGTGGTGAGAGTCTCTCTCGCTGCCCCCGCAGGCGCCTGGGCGACAAGCTGGACGGGGTTCTGTGCGACGGAGACTCCAACGAGACGGTGGCCTCCACCGTGGTCAACTGCCTCGACATCGACGGCAGTGAGTGGTCCGCGTGTGTCTGCGTTGCGAGCGTCTGCATCGAGCCGGGGAGACAAAGGCGGCCGGGCGCGGTGGCGTTGGCCACACTGCCCATCCGTGCGCCAAGCCGAGAATAATGGTTGCTTGCTGATGGCACTTCCCCGACAGCCTGTTAAAGTCTCCATGGGGGATCTTTGTCTTTGCGTGTGTTCGTGTGGGGAACGGTCGTGTAGTGGTGAGTTCGCTGCACTGTGAACTCGGTGATCCGAGTTTCGGTTCCCGCTCACGGCTAACACCAGCGTCGATTATTTGAACCGGTCCTAGGCTTCCCCGAGGTCGACTCAGGCTAACGTAGATGCGCAGGGAAAAAAAAACTATAATTAAAACAAAAATGTAGATTTGCCACCACATTGTGTAAGGCTATATGGGGCATCGTTGTCCTTATTGTTATAAGTGTGTCATTGCATTACCTTCGTTTTTTTTACGACATTCTGGCAACTCTTTGGTTCTTACGTGACTTTACAGAAAGAACCAAAGAGTAATCCCTGCAGTCACGAAAGCTCCAAATTTAGATTCTGGCAACTACCTGGCGATGCTGGTTGTAACTTTCACTGAAGCGTCGTGCCCATTACAATGTTGTGCTGCTGCTGCAGCGGTGCTACCATACATTGGGCCACGTTTGTTTACCACGTGACAGACAACTCTATTAATTTTCCGTGTCGGGTGGAGGAGGGTTTTACGACGTAATATATTACTCACGCGATCAAAACCCGCGAGTCGTGAAAGCTGAGCCCGCACGCGTTGAACTCGTCCGTTCAAAATCGCTTTGTGTGAGCAGGGCGGGCGTTTCCCCGGCGAAAATTTTCCGTTTCTCCTGCACGGTATCCATGCTACAGCACCGTCGTGTCTTGTCCCGCAGTCGGAATCCGCATCCTGCGAGAAGGCTGCGTGCCGGGAGCCGTCGTTCACCAGATCTTCGAGCGCGTGGCGGCGGCGCAGGGCTTGGAAAGTTCGGACTGAAGATTGCGTGCGGGCGCGGAACGTCAACGATCGAAGCGGGGGGATTCCACGGCGCTCCACAGCCAGATGGGGGTTGCCACCCTCTCTCGTGGTGTACCATAGTACAGAAGATGAATATCTCGCGATGCCGGTGGAGGAGGAGGGGAGGGTGGGAGAACCACATGGCAATGCGTTGTATAAAGTTGCGCGGATAAAAGAGGGGGGGAGGGAATGAGAAGCCATTAACCCTGACCCCCCCCCGTCACCCACCCCGTCCCCCCCAAAAAATGTCAGACCATTCTTGTGTTCGTTCGATATGTACACTTGTAAATAATTGTTGATGATTCTTGATTCGTTGATGTATATTTCCTTATTGATCCGCTTGTTTGGATGTTAATGAACATTGGCTTTACGTAGAATACATTTCGTTTTCCGAAATGAGGCGGCCGTCTGTTGCAGTGGAACTAATTTGCGTTGCAGCGGAACGAAAACTGATTCGCCCGACACCAAACGTGCAGCCGGGTGCGTGCTCAGATGAATGGGGAAAGTGAACTGGGAGTGAATCATAAGAGAGCATCATCTTTTGTTTTCTATATATGTAAATATACAAAATAGAGATACATAAAAATCACGGATGCTGAGCAGAGGCCCGAAACGCCAAGCGGCCAGTAACAAACCGCACCAATAAAGCTGTTCTACAGATACGAGTGTAACACGTTTCTTGTATGGGTAATGACAACTTGACGCCCTTCTCTTGAGATGGCACTTTATTGAAGACATGTTCACTTGACATCAGGCGGAGACCCCCACTGCAACAGCCCCGAGTCTCCCGCGCATCTCCCCCTTATATACCGACACGAGGCCACGCCCCCCTTCCCGAACCTTCTCGCTGACTCTGGACACTCGCTCCACCGGCAGACTCCACCGTCCTCTTCCGTCGCCTGACCACGCTCCTCTTCTCGATCAATCCCGTAGCCACCAGTCCCTTCGCACTCGCAACTGATGCCCCTGTCATTACCTCCCGTAGCCACCAGTCCCTTCGCACTCGCAACTGACTACCCTGTCATTACCTCCCGTAGCCACCAGTCCCTTCGCACTCGCAACTGATGCCCCTGTCATTACTTCCCGTAGCCACCAGTCCCTTCACACTCACAACTGATGCCCTTGTCATTACCTCCCGTAGCCACCAGTCCCTTCGCACTCGCAACTGACTCCCCTGTCATTACCTCCCGTAGCCACCAGTCCCTTCGCACTCGCAACTGATGCCCCTGTCATTACCTCCCGTGGCCACTAGTTCCTTCGCACTGTCGGCTGACTCCCCTGTCATTACCTCCCGTGGCCACTAGTCCACTCACCCCGCATGTCGACTCTACTGTCATTACCGATGTATGTACGTTGAACTTGAATTAATCAAGAATCTATAACAATACAGTATGAATACAGCTCACTTCTGCAGGCATGCTGGAGGCGGTGGCGTACAGCTATCGAGTGTGCAGGCGGTGTAACTGCGCTGGTGCCCACGGGCCGGTAGGGGGTGGGAGGGGTGTGATAGTGCACGCCCACATCGCCATAACACTGGTTGGAGAATTTTATTTTGTTTTATTTAAAAAAGTCTGCCGATGCTACAAAAGTTACAAAGACGACATCACTTATATTTATTATCGTGTGTGCGTGCGTGCATAAGCTCTACATATTCGCACAGTAACGCCGATGGTTAAAACATAAATATATAAGAAAATGGGCTCGTCCGGGATTTGAACCCGGGACCTCTCGCACCCGAAGCGAGAATCATACCCCTAGACCAACGAGCCACGCCATGCACTGAGACCTTCAGTACCTGAGTTTGACTCGCAGCCACGGCGAATGAACCTGGATTGAGCGACTATCCTCACTCCAATAAAATCCCTTCCCTGTCACGAATCCGCACCGACCAGCCTGGTGAAGTATGTACTCTTTGGTTTTTTCGGTAAAGTCACATACGTGACTTTCGGTAAAGTCCCATACGTGACTTTACCGAAAAAACCAAAGAGTATGGACCCTTGCAGTCACGAAAAGAATTAATGGTGAAGTATGATCATGCAACCCCCACGACCGACCGACACGGCGTGGTGCCTGAGTCTCATCCACTAGTGGATTGACAAACGATCTATTTTTGTTATTGACTATTGTTTGATTCTACGAGGACGTAAGCGGTGATCAGAAACACGGCCATTAACAAACATGGACAACGATTTAAACATTAAAGTGCGCCAAGAAGCACGGAGGGGTGGATGCTTGGAATTGCAATGAGAGACCGGAAGAGGTGCAGCGCTGGTGAGATGTTAATGACCTCGCCTAGTATACATGAGGTCGTGGGTTTGATTCTCCATCCTGAGCCCTGTATATTTGGAGTTTACACGTCTCCTTCTTTGAAACATACGAAGTCGATAACACTTAAAGCTCCCGCACGGATGGATGGAATAATCCAAAACCCACCACCAGTACGTGTACGAAAGCGTAAGGCTCAAAGTTCTGCCACACAGACAAAGTCACGATCCCACTTGCTGTACTGCCACCTTCTGGCCACCACCTCGCAGCCCAGCGGGTTTGAGAGTTTCAGAAATCTCCACGTGACCAACATCCTTTGGTCCGCCCACCCACCACCCCATGAAACAACTACAATTGTTTTTTGTTGATATTTACCAAACATATTGATTGATTTGTTGTATTTATATATTAATTTCGGGTCCTAATTTAAAAAAAATCTTCAGATTTTGTGAGCCGTGTTTCTAATCACACCCCCTCCCCTCCATCCTCCTTGGGAAGTTTTGAGATCCGCCACCGGTGACGTGTCAACTCAGCCCTCTATCATCATCATCATCATCATACCTGTGGAGTGAGATCAAATGAGTACCACTTTGTAGGAAATGAATGGTGGTTTGCAAGTAGGTCGAACTGGCTCCCGGTGGGAAATGATGGAAAATTCATCATAGCAGGGAGCATTGCCCGACAAATCGCTTTATATTACTACAGCGTCCTCTCGTGGCGAAAGTGTGTTCCTCACTCTACAGCTGTGAATTATCTCGCAGATTGCACTCCAACTGTGGATGGTACATATTCACTCCAACTGTGGATTGTACATATTCACTCCAACTGTGGATTGTACATATTCACTCCAACTGTGGATTGTACATATTCACTCCGACTGTGGATTGTACATATTCACTGCAACTGTGGATTGAACAATTTCACTCCAACTGTGGATTGTACATATTCACTTCAACTGTGGATTGTACATATTCACTCCGACTGTGGATTGTACATATTCACTCCGACTGTGGATTGTACATATTCACTCCAACTGTGGATTGTACATATTCACTCCGACTGTGGATTGTACATATTCACTGCAACTGTGGATTGAACAATTTCACTCCAACTGTGGATTGTACATATTCACTTCAACTGTGGATTGTACATATTCACTCCAACTGTGGATTGTACATATTCACTGCAACTGTGGATTGAACAATTTCACTCCAACTGTGGATTGTACATATTCACTCCAACTGTGGATTGTACATATTCACTCCAACTGTGGATTGTACATATTCACTCCAACTGTGGATTGTACATATTCACTCCAACTGTGGATTGTACATATTCACTTCAACTGTGGATTGTACATATTCACTCCAACTGTGGATTGTACATATTCACTCCAACTGTGGATTGTACATATTCACTCCAACTGTGGATTGTACATATTCACTCCAACTGTGGATTGTACATATTCACTACACTGTGGATTGTTCAGAATTATACTTCATTGTCGATGCTACATATTCACTCGCTCATGATGCCGCTGCTCAGGGCATTTCTGCTGTTACCACTGACGATTGAGATGATCTTGGTGCTCGTGATAATTGTAGTATGAATCTAGATTTTAAGTTTTCGTGACTGCAGGGATCCATCCTCTTTGCTTCCTTCGGTAAAGTCACGTAGGTATCATCATTTATTTGATTTTATACCGACGTGACTTTAATTATAGTATTATTACATTTTAGATTTGAAGTTTTCGTGACTGCAAGGATACATACTCTTGGTTCTTTCGGTAAAGTCACGCAGGTAAAGAAATGTTTTTTTTTTAAGAAAATAAAAAAACATCTTTATTTTTTATCTTTTATTTTATTTTTATTTTCTTTACCTACGTGACTCTACCGAAAGTATTATTACAATTAATACTTACATCAACATTAGCAGCCATGATCAATCCACTGCTGGATAAAGGTGTCTTCCAAGTCGTAGCCACCATATCCCATGGATCTGATGTAGCAGCAGCTTGTTCCTGATTGTTCCTATTTCCTGTTTTCCTCCATAATTTTATTTGACTTCCCACGCGTCTACCGCAAACGAGCACAGCATTTGTTTATGGGTTTTATTACTTGCGAAAGGGCAGGTAACACGGACGGAAGTCGTAGATATAAAACCACTAACCACGCTTATTGCTACGGAAAAGTGTCGTGAGCGAACACATATTAAGCCCGGCACGGCGCACATCGCTGATGGTGTTGTGATTCGGCCCTTCACACACCCGGGGACGCCTTTGCCTCCCAAATGTCCCACGGTTCTTCTGCCAAACCCCTGGGTCGCGTTCTCCGCTCAGCCGGCGTGCGTGCTGCAGGGATGGCTAACGTGTTAAAGCGATGACTTGCGTGCCTATAGGCATGGCTCACGTACTGCAGAGATTACTAGCGTGTTATAGGGATGATTTGCGTGCTCTAGGGATGGCAGTACGCTTTATGGATGGCGAGTTTTGCCGCAGGGATGCCGAGCGTGCTGCAGGAATAGCTAACGTGTTATATGGATTGCTAGCGTGCTACAGGGATTGCTAACGTGTTATAGGAATGATTTGCGTGCTCTAGGGATGGCCAATACGCTGTATGGATGGTGAGTGTTGCTGCAGGGATGCCGAGCGTGCTGCATGGATGACTAACGTGTTATAGGGATGACTTGCGTGCTACTGGGATGACTAAAGTGTTATAGGGATGGCTTTCGTGCTTCTGGGATGACTAACGTGTTATAGGGATTGCTAAAGTGTTATAGGGATGACTATCGTGTTATAGGGATGGCTTGCATGCTACAGGGATGACTAAAGTGTTATAGGGATGACTTGCCTGCTACATGGATGGCGAGCTGTTAGGGGTGGAAACACTTTCATTTCTCTAAACGCTGGGCTTCTGGAACCCTCTGGCAAGTCGGGTCATGCCAAGTTTTGATTATTCCAGCACCAACAGACATCGCCACTGTCCCCGTGGGGCGAGGGGGGTTGGTGTATCTCAGCCATAGCCACGGTGTAATACGATAACATCGAACACCCCACACACGAAATCACCGATCAAGAGATTCGCTCACGTATATGGAAGAGAGGTAGGCTTGACATTGGTCGCAGGGGCTGTGTGTATTTTGCCCCATGTCCCCCCACAATATGTGGTGGTGCCACTGCCACTCAAGGTTGACACGCACAACAAAGACAAAGCTCCCCCGGCACGTAAATAGACTTTCGCGAGCTGTCTGGGCAAGTGCTGCTGTTAGACGATGCCAGTGACGATGTTTAATACACACCGGGCCAGGCCCAGAGGACAGGTTCACATCTCTCGTTAATTATTCTTTGGTTCTTTCGGTAAAGTCACGTATATTATTTAATTTATTATTTTATCTTTATACGTGACTTTACCAAAAGAGCCAAAGAATAATTCCTGCAGTCACGAAAGCTCCAAAATTAAGATCTCTCGTTAATTCTTGTTGATGTTGTTGTTGTTTGGTTGTGAGTGGGAAATGTAACTGGGCGGGGGTTCGTTGCGCAGCGTGTTTGTAAATCACTGCGCGCCGTAGCAGCCGCAGATGATATCAGAACTCGACATTCCACACACTGAATGACCGCTGACACGGACAGACACACACCTGCACACACACACACGCCTGCACACACACACACCTGCACACACACCAGCACACACACACCTACACACACACACCTGCACACACACTCATCTACACACATACACGCATGCATACACAGACACACACCAGCACAACAACAACAACCGCCATTCGCCACTAAGTGGCGGTGACGTCACCACGACGCTTGTGCCAGGCCATGTGCACCTTGAGGCCACGTGAAGTGTCGAACGCCCGCTGCCAAGAGGTCACGGGGCAGACCCAGCAGGTGCCACGGGTCGACTGACCGAGATGACTGAGATGACTGGCTGATGCACCACCTGTGCCCCCTACTGTGCCAACTTGCTGTGCTTTAGCCACCCGGCGCTCCGCTCGTTGTTGTGAGCGTCGCTCCTCCGCCCTCCGTTGTTGTTGGAGGGCGACCACGCCCGGCCGTCTTTGTTTCCCGAGTGTCTCACCGCATCGCACGGGGTTGCTCAAATATTTGAGGCTGAGTGGACCTAGTGGAGGCCCAGGACCGAACGCGGTGCACGCCAGCCCCGCGCACGTGACAGGCGGGGCGGGGAGGGGGGTGGGGGGGGGGCGGAACCCGCGGGTATATAAAGCGGCGACGTCGGCGAGCATCCGACTCGCTCCCTGCCGTTGTCGGGAGACGTCGTTCGCTTCGTCCACCTCCTCCACCACCTCCACCACCACCACCACCACCACCACCTCCTCCTCCTCCTCCACCACCACCTCCACCACCACCTCCTCCATCAACGAACAGCAATGGCTTGGAGGCTGTCCAGCACCGCGCTGCTGCTGCTGATGGTGATGCAGCATCCAGTCACAGCCCAGACGGGGTAAGCGTTCTCACGGCCACTGATCAGATAATACAGTTGTTTAGCGGCCTTTTTTGATCGGAGTGATGATGGGCTTTGACGTTTGGTTCGGTGAATGCGCGAACGTCAGAAATGCACGGGCATCACGAGACATCTGCGCTACTGTTACCCGTATGTAACGACGGTGGCTCCCGTCGAAGGAACGTGGAGTGGCTGAGCGTGTGCCCCCGTAGGCTCTAGGAAGCTGTCGGAGCTGGCAGCTGTCCCCTAAGGAACGCGGCGAATCGAGGCGGCCGCCCCGGGCCCCGCGCTTTGGGGGGTGGGGGGGGGGTTAATACCTTCGGTTTTAATTTGAAGGCATCGGGGGAGGGGGGGGGGGGCATGCTGGTGACACATTGAGACCGAGGGTGGGGGCAAGGAGGCATTCATCCAGCAGTGGATAATACCGTGAGTGATGCTGGTTATGTACTGCGTGTAAATGATTTTCTACCCCCCCCCCCCCGCTCGCTCCCATTGATTCGATTAATCGTCAGGCAAGAATAGACTAAAGAGTCTATTCTCATTTGTAACCACCACCTTTGCACTTTCACGTACTGCCGTGCGCACTGTTAACGTGAATTGCAACACGAGCACGAACATCATTGTCACGACCGGCATTGCTCGGTCCACTGCTAGACTAAGGCCCCATCCCACGTGGTGTCGGTCACGGTGGTTGTTTGACCATACTTCACCCCGCTGGTGAGTACGCCGAGATGGGAGGGCACATGGCCTGTACTGTATACGGTACAGTATCTCTCTGCGTATCCACGCATCTCTGTGTTGTGTGTGGCGTCTGCCTCTATCCGTGTTGATTCTCCCGTGTCCATCCATCCAGATTTGCCTCCCCGTGTCTCGCCGTCTTTGTCTCGTAACTACCGCGCATTTACATCTCGCATCATTGCCATACACAGCAGCAGCAGCACGTGCACGTGCCAGGCTAGGTGCACGCAGCTGTATATCCACCCCCCTCCCTCCCACCCCTGAGAGTGGGTTTGTGTCTTACGACATTTTCGGGAAAGGAATTCGAATCCAGCGATTTGAGGAAGTGACGGGCTGCTGTTGGTTTGAGATGAGAGGGAGGGTGGTGGGGTGGTGGCTGGGTTGTTGGGTAGGGTCCGCTGAGCTATCTAGCTATTTCTTTCTTTCCAGAAGCGACCTGGCCACAAACGATTGCTCAACGAAGTGGCTTATCGCGTAGACATTTCTAGCGGTCAAAAACCGGAGGACACGGAGAAAAATCCATGGGGAGAACGTGCACGACCTGTATACCAGGCGAGGTAGTTAACATCTCGCCACCGCGGTTGTGTAATAGTGATTCGCCACTAAGTAGAGTTAATTTGGGGGGGGGGGGGGGCATAGGAATATTTGGTAGTGCAGGGTCCACCCCACTCACCCTTATCACTGACCTTGGTGGCTAGGTATGTGGATGGATGAATGGCTGTGTGGGTGGGTGGATGGGAGACTGGTTAAATAGATAGTTGGGTAGCAGGGTGGGTTGTGGCTGGTTGGTTTAGAATAGGATGGGGAACCTTTATTCTGCCAAGGGCCATTTGGACATTTACAACATCATTCGCGGGCCATACAACATTATCAACTTAAAGATTAGCCTGTTTATATTAGGTCAAACATTGAATTAACTCGCCCCTAATGTGATGGCTGGAACTGCCAATTGGTTTTTCAAGCCGTATACGGCTCGCAGGCCGGACGTTCCCCACCCTGTGGATAACTTGGTTGCAGGGTATCTAGGCAGATGTCTGACTGACTGGGTGGGCTGGTGACTGGGAAAGTGGATGTGTGTGTGGTAGATGGACGAGTAGATGCCGAGTTGCAGGGTAACTTGGGGGCTGGCCGGCAAGATATTTTGGCTCGATGTTAAGAGTCGTCCTTCACTGGCTACGTATCTCGGGCACAATCTGAAAGGATTATTTAAAAAAAATTCTACCACATTCCGGTTTTACCGGCAACCCACCGAGCCTCGATACCGTGTCAGGAGACTGTGTGTGGGGGGGGGGGGGCGAATGTGGAAGGCAAGACGTTCTCCATGGTTGGTCATTGTCAATGACGAACCCTTATGAAAAGTATTTGAGACTGTAAGGCTCTCCTGGATATACAAGTAGCCTAGGGGGGTACAGAATTATCCCTTTTATCCCCTCCCCCTCGACCCCACAACATTTTCTGGGGCGGTAGCTTCTTGTATGACAATTGACCACAACAATCGATGTATTTTGTGGTCCCATTTTTTTCTCTTCTCGTTGGCATTGTTTTCCGCCAGTTCAGTTTTGTTTGCTCCATTGGCATTATTTTAAGGTCGGCCTAGCGTTTGCGCGAAAAGTAAAATAATTATCAATTTTCGCACGCACGACTCGATGCCCACATGGCGCGCATCAAAATTGCATTTAATTGCTTAAAAATAGGTTCTGCTCTTAATTTTGCTAAATTTCAGCTCTTCGAATTTAACATTGGTTCAACTTTCACACGACAACTTTACTCCGTGTAGCAGAGAGGGCAGCGAAAGTGCTTCCCTGCCCTCTTACACAACGTGCAACGGAGGTCGCTCGGAGGGATATCGGATGTAGCTCTGTAAACTCTGCTTCCTCGGGCTGTCTCTGAAAGCACCCGGCCATGTTTTTCATTCCGTGACGCCGATAGTGCAACTGCTCTAAACCGGGTTCAAAGATACAGAAAACATGACAAGATCAAATGAACATTATTTGGGTCTTTCGGTAAAGTCACATAGATAGGTTCAAAGAAAATAACAAAAAAATAACAAAAAACTACGACGTCTCGCTCACCCGCTCGCTCACCCGCTCGCTCACCCGCTCGCTCACCCGCTCGCTCACCCGCTCGCTCACCCGCTCGCTCACCCGCTCGCTCACCCGCTCGCTCACCCGCTCGCTCACCCGCTCGCTCACCCACTCGCTCACCCACTCGCTCACCCACTCGCTCACCCACTCGCTCACCCACCACACTGCAGTATCATTCCGCGTCTTCCCTTGCACTGCCTCACCCTGGAATCCCCTCATCCTATCATCTTTTTGCTCCCAATCTCTTAAAATACATATCCTAGCTTAATTTAAGACACGTGTTGCACTCTCACCGAGTATAACTTTTATTATAGTGCTGCTTGTTGCTGGCCGCTTGCCACTTTTGGGACTTTGAGCGTGCGCTGAGAAAACTGTTTCAAACAAACAAACGAACACAAATGTGTCAGACCGAGCTGAACTTTGCTCGCCTGCCACCAAGCGTTCTAACCATTGCGACGAAGCCAAGCCATGCAACGCTTATCGAGCGATGCTCTATGGGTTACCCAGGAATGAAATAATGACGTAAATTTCGGCAATAGTCATAGGTTCTCTTTACATTTTGATGCAGGAAAACGAAGCCTGTGTAACACCGGCTTGGCCAAGATATTAATACTCTGCCAATAATCTCTCCGGGGTCGATAAAAATGCATACCACTTTGTGGGGAAGTCAACAGTGGATGCCCTATGGATGGAGAAGACACTGCTTATGGCTATAAACAGGATAAAAACTGCTGACTACGTCCAGTAGTAGAAAGCCTCCTTTGGACTCAAACGGCCTCCGTCGGCTTGCAAAGTGCACCCGGAGTGGTGGGAGGTGGGGGACAGCGGAGGAGGCGAGGGGGGCTGTAAGACTGGCGAAAACCGCAAGAATCCACACACACACCCAGTGACCTCTCGCATAACAACCGTACAGTACGCATTTCCCCCTCGTGATGATCTTAATAAACAATAAAAAGACGCATTCTTCGTACTGTGCTTCTACGGTGAAGTCTGCTCAAGTGATGCTCACCACCCGCTCGGGTGTTTTGTTGGGAGGAGTACTGGACCGTCCGGCAGTGGACGGACGCAGGTGATGTACGTGCACTTCTCTATCCACTGCTGGACCAGGACCTCCCCACGGTGCCTGTCGGGTCGGAGTTGATGTTTGCCCGACCCATATTGCACCACACCAGAGGTCGCAATCGGGTACCTGATACCCGTACCCTACCCGATACCCGGCTACCCGTACCCAGCCGCGACCCTGGTGCGGCCGGGTACGGGTACGGTTAGGCCGTAAGTCACTGGTGAGTAACCATTTGTCACTCATTTCCCAACGTCTTGTCTCTTCTCACAATTCAAGTTCCTAGAATCAACCCACCCGCGCCTGCAACATGGCTTCATCCCAGAGGTCGCAATCGGGTACCCGATACCCGTACCCTACCCGGTACCCGGCCGGGTATCGGGTACGGGTACCCGTTTGCGACCCTGGTGCGGCCGGCTATGGGTAAGGAATCAAAACCCGTTTGCGACCTCTGCACCACACTGGTCCCATGCCGGTCGGTGGCCCGGGATCGGTTGGGACATCGCTCGCAACTGATGTTCGCCGTGGCCAGCGATGGGTTCCAAGGTCGCTGGGTTCGTCGTGCAGCGTGCAACACAAAAATAGAAAATTCCCTTTTCCCTGTTGGGCTTCGCCGAGTCTCAAGACTCATTTGGAGGAGGGACCAGCTGCATTGGGAAGTCTGATCCTTTCACTAAGACATGGGTCAGCCAAGCTGTAATACTATACTATATATAACTGACATTAAATAAATAAATACAATTTCCCAGGTAAGGCCCACTGAGCTATATAGCTCTTATCAGAAGCGACCTGGCCACAAATGATATCTCAACGAAGTGGCTTATCACGTGGAAATGTCTAGCAGCCAAATACTCTAAACACACGTTTCTAATTGTGGAAGAAAAAACAGGAGGACCCAGAGAAACATCCACGCGACGACCGGGAGAAACGTTGATGCTCTAAATATACAGGTGTCAGGATTGGGGTCGAACCCATGACCTCCTGCACACCAGGCGAGGTAGTTAACATCTCGCCACCGCGGTGCCTCTGACTCCCCGCCCTCCCCTCCCCATCTCTCCTTCAGCACTTGTCAAGGACTTGTTTGTTCCCCTCTGTTTTTGCTGTAACACCACGAGAGAAGGGTGGTCGTGGTGGTGGTGATGACAGCGGTCACGCGTTTATTTATTAAACTCACCATAACCAGTTTCCTTCCCATAAAAGAGACCCCGTAGCCGAGGGGTTTGGACATTGCGCATTTTCCCAGCTCGTGTCACACGGTTACATCATCCCTCTGGGGTCTATAAAACGAGCACCACTTTGTGCAGAAGTTGACCGTGGTTGTCTTATGACTGGTTAGACTCGCACCCGCCATAGAAATGTGGAATTTCCACCACTGGCTCTGCAGGGCTGTATATTTGCCATGAGCACCATTTGCCTCTGCCTCTGGGTTGTTTGCAATTGATGATTTTTTTTGTTTGTTTGGGGAAAAATATGAAGCTATCCACATATACAAACACAGACAGAACTTTAATCGAGAAGAAGGATGTGAGAAGAAGGATGTGATGAACCACGTACAATTTTAACTGCTATGATTTTCACTCACCCACCCGGTTGTCGTCGTCCGATTACGACTTATACTACAAGTCCATTTACTTGCTAATTGTTCTAGCCCCACCCGTCCCTGCACGCCACAAACCCTCCCACCCCCTCTCCCCTGTGAACTCCCACAGCCAAACTCCTTCACCCCCCTTCCCTCTCCCCTCCTGCACCTATATAAAGCCACAACAGCGGATATTTTTTTCTCACCTGAAGGCGGAAGCTTGTGTTGCGACCGAAACGGCGTGTTTTATTTTATTATTTTAGAATTTTTTCTATCTACGTGACTTTACCGAAAGAACCAGAGAGTACGTGACAAATACTTTAAGAAATGGGACAAAACCCCGAGCCCACCAATAATGATGACGACGAAAAGCAGCAACATAACCAATATGCCTGAAGAAGCCACCGTATACAACACAAACAGCGAGTCGAGACAAGTGTAATATATGATTAATCGCTGCCGGGGTAAATGGCATTTGGGGATTTCCCTAATCTTTCGTTTTTCTCTGCTTTGATCATAGCGACGCTGCTCGATTTTGAGCAGCAAATGTTTGCATTGTGTGTTCCTTTTTTCAAAATGAGAATCTTGTGCGGTGTGTGTAAAAACATCAGCACTGGGAAGACAAAGGCGAACGGGCATGGTATTGGCCACTTGTATGCTGTGCTGGCTTTCATCATACTTGCTCGCTTAACCGTCCTTGCGGCCGTCTGGAATGCTCTTCCGATATTAGGAAGCCACTGGGAGCTATGCACTTTTAAATAGAGTAAGAAAACTGATTTCTTTAGAAATGCTTTTTGTGTTTAGTTTTTCTCCTTCCCCCCGCACCTCCAATTAGCACTGTCGGCTACGTACGGTGCGAAAGTTCAGCATACACGTGTAGTATGGTGAAATACGCGGTGCGCACTGGTTGGCCGAGGGCAACCGAGGGCAGGCAGGTGCGCGTGTGCAACGGGAGGTTGCACGAGCAAACCTCCACCCCATTAAGGGGAGAATCGGGTCCAGACGGGGTCAGCCCGGGGTTGCTCGCTGACACCGGAGGTGTTGCCAGGGAGACGTGCGATAAGGGGTGATTGATGGTCTGACAGGCGCCAGCCTCTCTGGCCCTAACGAGACACAAGGGAGGAGCTGGATCATTGGGAGGAGGATATAAGGAGGCGCGTGAGAGCGGAGCGGGAGTTTGGGTTGCTGGGACCACGGTGAAGACCTCCTCGCCGCTGCCGAGTCGCCGGGCGGGTGATGATTGATCCCCCCGCCGGGATCGGACGAATGAGTTGGTCTGAGGGAACGTAGGCGAGGGCAGCGGTGCAGAGTGAGCGCTGCTGTGTGCAAGCCTCTGTGTGTGCGCTGCTGTGTGCGAGCCTCTGTGTGTGCGCTGCTGTGTGCGAGCCTCTAGCTGTGTGCAAGCCTCTGTGTGAGCGAAGCTGTGTGCGGTCCTCTGTGTGTGCGCTGCTGTGTGCAAGCCTCTGTGTGTGCGCTGCTGTGTGCGAGCCTCTAGCTGTGTGCAAGCCTCTGTGTGAGCGAAGCTGTGTGCGGTCCTCTGTGTGTGCGCTGCTGTGTGCGAGCTCTGTGTGAGCGCTGCTGAGAACAAGAGCTGCTGTCTGTGTGCGGAGCTGTGAGTGCGGGGCTGCTGAGAGGAAGGGCTGCCGCAGGCAGGTTAGCGAGGTGTAAAGTAGATAAGGGAATTGGTCAACAAAATTGACTGTATAGACAGAGAGGAGTGCCTACAACTGGTGCAAGAATAGAGTAATAAAGTGTAAGCAGGGTGACCTGTAACAACGTGTCCGACGGAGTGATTTTACAAGACACTACACATGCTTGCCCCTTCATAGAGGGTGTTTTTTGGGTTAGAACGCGTAAATGTGTTGTTAAACCCGACACAGATAATTAGTAAGGTTTGTCTTGTAAACAAAACATGTCAATTAGGGACTAGTTCAGCACACCGGTGTATTTGAGAGTTAAACCCACAACATTTTACCTTTGACAAACCTTGCTTCTGGGCTGTGTCGGGTGGTGGTGGATTTTAATGACACATTTATATTTACGCAATCGAACTAAAAAAAGCCTCCTGGATAACATCGATCACGAAAGCCTACTCCGTGTTAAACATTCTTGCCTCTTGCTGAAGGCCACGTGTGGTGGGGGGGGTTTGTTTTCGCAGGCTGGACAAGACTCCCTCGGTGGACCCCCGGTGCCACGCCCAGTCTCCGTTCTGCGCGCGGGGCCGTCGAGGTGGCGGCCTGCCCACTGTGCAGCCCGAGGATGGCCTCGTTGTGTTCCTGCTACGCTCAGAGGGCTTGGGCCGCCACCACGAGCCCTTCCTGTCCGAGCTCCAGAGCCACTTCCCTGGGCTGCAAGGCCTGTGGAGTGTGAGTCGCTGCCCTTCGCTTTCCCTGGGTGTGGGCGGTTCGTTGGTTAAGGCGCATATATGACGGTTGACGATGCGACCTTGGCAATACAAGTGTAGAGGTGTAGTGGGTGACGTCGCGTCACGCTCGCCCTCGGAGAGTGGCGTCGCAGAACGTAACGTCAGGCGGCGCTTGGGGGACTGTGACGTCATGCCCCCGGGGGGGTATTTAAAGGGGGACCCGGGATGTAACCAGGGTTCGTCGGGGGTAGGAGTGGGGATTCGGTAGTTGGTCCTCACACGAGGCTCGGGGAGGCTACTCCGCCCGACCGGCCGAGGTTGGGGTAGTCCCGGGCCGGGGCAGGGTGGAGAGCCGAGTTAGCCGGGGTTGTAGGGATCAGTCCCCTATCCCCTGGGGAGTTATAGGCTAGGGGGGTTTTGGTTCAGCGTAAGCCCTTAACAAACTTGGCGTAAGCCCCTAAACGCAACCTGCCTCGGAGTCGTACATTGCCCCGCAACACAAGTACAGGGCTTCATTTCTTCGTTAAAAAAACCCAATATTTTTCGGGTTGCTTGGAATACTGGAGAAAAGCACGTGGCCAGTGGTAGCCGTGGCCATAGCAAGTGGTCTACTAGATGTGGTGTGCCAGGCGATGGAATATTTTCTGGGTTGCCAACATGGACAGACACATCCTGAAATTAATATTGTTCTCGCCCCTCACCACCACCTCCCCTCACCGCACAGAGCTACCGCGAGTCCCTGGGGTTCTACAGTTTCCTGATGAAACGCAATTTCACGCTGAGCTGGAACCCCCTGTTCGGCACTTCCTCCGGGGCGACGCCCCTCCTCCTGGACAAGGGGGGCGACCCCATCTGGTGCAACGTAGGGGCCTCCTGTTTCACCTCGGTTGAGGGTGGCTCAATGGAGGCTGCGAGCGTCGTCAAAGTGGCCGAGATGACGGGTGAGCGACGTTTGCGGTTCAGGCTCCCAGCGCCTATCCCCTGCCCTGCCACCGCTGGTGTTTTTGATCGTAAATGACACTCGCAGTGGGCATTAACCCTTTCCCGTTCCGAGACGTCTGCAAGTTGGAGGGTGGGGGTCCCGTTCACCGCTGAATCTGGGAAGTGGCTAAACATTCAGTTTATTTAGAGAGGCGTAGTGCCGCTGGTTTGGAAGACATTGAACTCTCCACAGAAAACAGTAGTGACACGATCTGTGATGGCTTGTGCCAAACTGTGCCACGCCCTCCCGCATGGACTTTTGGCAGCCTCGGTCCCAATAGTTTTTTTTTCTTCCGATTCCATTCCGATGAACTTGCACGTACGTCATCAGAACAGAATCGAAAATAAAACTGGTGACGTATGTGTACGTCATCGGAATGGGAAAAGGTTAAATGTCCAATGTCTTTATTTGAGAACGGTGTAGGCCTTGTGTGTACGTGTGCCGGTATTACGATCCGACTTTGCCACGTTTGAAACTTGGTCGCGAATTACCCAATTGAGTAAAACCCAGTGTAGGAAAGTGGAGGGACAAAAGAGTGTAAGTAATTTTTAAATGGAGCAAAAAAAATGATACAAGCGAGGTGATGATCCGGTGGTTGAAGGATCTGAGCACTTGAGATCCTAAGTACGAATCCCTTGACATCGCAAAATTTGATGGAAATAACCGTATTTTCCAGATTATAAAATGGTCCGGACAGTACGACGTACCCCAAATGTTTTCAGAATTAACATTCTCCTACTGAATACGGGAAAGAACGGTGCAGAGTATAACGATCCTAAATATAGAGTGGACGTTGCGAAGAAAATCTGTATTTTTTATTATCGGGAGAATTCGGTACCATGGAGAGCCGTCTTCAGGAAGATACTTTATGGACACGCTGCATTACAATGGGGGGGGGAGGGAGATGTCTTCCTGAAGCTGATGTATTATCTGGATTACACGACACCTCTAAAGTTTTTATTCAAATACAGGTTGGTGTGGGGGGAGGGGTAAAAAAATGCTGTAGAACGTGGTCATTTTTAGCGATGTGAATTCTTCACCTGCTTCGGCTTGTTCCGCAGGTGAGAATTTCAACCAAATGGCCGCCTGGGTGCAGTCGCAAAACGCCACCGCGACGCCTTTCGACCTCTGGACGGTCTACAACGGCACGGGCAGCAACGCGACGGTGCAGTTCGACGCACGGGACAGCAACGGCTACGTGCAGGGCGTCATCGCGAAGCTCTCCTCCATCGGGGCCAATTTCATCGGGTCCGAGACTGCCAGGAGGTCACGGCTCGCCCTCTACAGCGACGCAGCCAAGTCCCTCGGAAACGGCAGCGACATCTTCGGCCCCAAGTCGAAGCAGCAGGCGCTGGCGAAGGACATGCTGAAGTTCTTCAGCTATTTTCGGCCGGGCCAGACAGCCCTGCAGAGGGCGTTGAGCACCATTGGTATCTGCGTCGAGGTCATGTACCACAAGCGGTTCTTCATTTATCGTGACGACACGTACTGGCAGCTGCAGATGATTTACCCGTACTTCTCTGTGACCGATGAGTTTTGGCCGTTGCCTAAAGCCGCCTACGACTATCCCTTCCTCCTATAGTAGCCCCCTCTTCTCGCCCTTTAGCACATTCGCAAGGTACACTCAAAGAAATGGCTACTCGCTTGGTTGTTGCCAGAGGTCGCAATCGGGTACCCCGATACCCGTACCCTACCCGATACCCGGCTACCCGTACCCAGCCGGGTACGGATACCCGTTTGCGACCCTGGTGCGGCCGGGTACGGGTAGCCGCACGTGACTCACTCCAACCAATGAGTGAGAAGGCCGTGAGTCACTGGTGAATAACGGTTTGTCACTTATTTCCCAACGTCTTGTCTCTTCTCACAATTCAAGTTCCTAGAATCAACCCACCCGCGCCTGCAACATGGCTTCATCCCAGAGGTCGCAATCGGGTACCCGATACCCGTACCCTACCCGATACCCGGCTACCCGTATCCGGCCGGGTACGGGTACCCGTTTGCGACCCTGGTGCGGCCGGGTACGGAATCAAAACCCGTTTGCGACCTCTGGTTGTTGCTTCTTTGTTTTGTGACCCGCCTGCAGTGGCTTTTGCAGCCAATAGCAAGAGAGAGACTAAAACCACGTGTTATGCACACGCTGTTCTGTGACATTTTGCAAACGTGCGTTTAAATCTTCGTATGCATGTAATCGGCGATGATGAACGTTACGTTGCCATGTGTTCGACAGATTGACAAACTATGGCGAGTACTTGTAGCGTTGTTCCTTGTCGCCAAGATTTTGGTTGATGCTTTTCTTAGTTTGTCATATTTTTCCATCGGGTAAGAATCTCATAGCAACATAACGTTAGACTGAAACGTTGTTTGAAAGGACTAATGTGGTTAACATGTTAAGCCTTGCTAGGAAAATCACAGAAAATAATGTTTGAAATGTATATCAAATGACCATTGCAGTTTGTGTGCTTTTACTTTTTGTTTAACTGATTTGTGTAACCTGTGGAAATCTGTGGCTCGTGTAGTCGGGTAACGTTTATTTTCAGTTTTTTTACATATGATCTAATTGGGCTCCTGGAAATTAAACCTTGTTATTTTGTATAGTTTTTCTCCTCAATAAATTACAGGAGAACGAATACCCCATGTGTGCTTCTTCTAAGTTTTACGTGATTTAATAATGACATCGAGTGTGATTTAAAGTACAGCCAACCATTCTTATTCTGCTCAAAGCCAAAGCTTACCCGTATAGCCTTCACCAGCTGTTGGGGCAAGTGTTACTTGCGAGCACCTACGAAAGCCAACGTGGCACACGAGGGCATGGTGTGGCTAGCACAGGGGTCGGCAACCTGTCGCGTCAGAGCCGCGTGCGGTATTTGGTAAGGACCGTCAGGTATTCACATGCATTTCGGCTCTGAATTATTGAGTTTGCCGAATTCTAAACAAATCGCTCGTTATTTCGGTTCCAGACCCCTGGTCGAGCACCATACCCAGCCGACTTTGTCCCCTCTCCCGCAGTGGTGATGTTTACACACTGCACCAGGTACACTTTTAAGGCCGAGACAATGTGAACCTAGGGAAGGCCCTGGGACGGGTTCCAATATTCGACACTGATGTTGGCCGTAAGCGGGAAGAAACTGGTTGCCGGGTTCATAGCGCAGTCTGCTAACCACTTCACTATCACTCCCCACAAAGCAAACAACAACATTTGCCACTAAATGGTGGTGACGTGACCTCGGCGCCTATGTCAGGCCAGGTCCACTTGTAGACCACAAGTGTCGAAGGCTCGGTGGCAGGAGGAGGTCACGGGACAGACCCCGGTGCCATGGGTTGACTGAGATGACTGGCCGATGCACCAGATGTGCCCCCTACTGTGCCAACTTGCTGCATTTTAGCCGCTCGGCGCTCTGCTTGTAGTGGGCAAACACACACACACTTTAAAGAATACTTAGTATTATATGTGAAAGATGTTTTCCTCTGTGTCGTAGGCGAATGTGGGTTACTTGTCACGTGTGTAAGAATTGAATGTGGTTCTAGATTTGAAGCTTTCGTGACTGCAAGGATTCATACTCTTAGGTTTGTTTCGGCAAAGTCACGTAGGTAAAAATAAAAATAAATAAAAATAATAACCTTGATATAGTAAATTTAGCTGTGACGGTCCCACCTGATGACGGAGACTTGTGTTGCCTCCGAAACGTCGTGATTTATTATTTTACTTCTATTATTATTTCTATTACTTTTATTATTTATTTTTACCTACGTGACTTTACCGAAAAACCCTAAGAGAATTGAATGTGGTGTTTGTACGAAGTTCAACAGACGTACAACCAGAACCGATAAGAACGTGCTGCAGGCACGGACATGCTTCCTGGTTCACAAGAAAACAACTAGTTTTCATTTTTGTTGACATATTGGTGTTTTACGCACAGGTTTAAACATTTTACTTCAACACTTTACTTTTATGACGTTTCTGGCTCCACGTCTGGTGGAGTTTTAGGTTCATTGGGCTCTTGGCAGATGCAGCACGACCCTAAAAACATGCAGTCCTACAGAAATGAGTTTACATGACATCCTGCAGTCTCTTAAGGACACTATTATACACCACATTGTACGTGGGTGGTGGGGGTAAATAATATTATTGGATACAATCAGGGCCCTGAATCGTGAAAATGAATATAATCATGAGTGGTTTGACAGGCGCCAATCACTTAACGCCTAGTTTGTATTGTGTAAAAGCCTGAGAAAGTACCGACACGCTTATTGTGAGAAATGTGGCTCGTATTTTTTACAAAAGTGAACTGGATATAGGAAGTCGTTTCGCTGGCGAGTCGAGTGGCTTCTACCGCAATGTTGAGTGTTGTACAAATAGAGGAATTGTTAAAAACATAAAAAAAATATATAAATGTGTGGTCCATGGACCCCAGCCCACACTCAACGTTTTTGTTACATTTGTGGCTGGCCAGCCCACTCTGCAGCCGAGGTCACCTGACACACGACACCACACATTTACCACTCACCTCACCAGTCAGCTTCCCCTGATCCTCTTGACTCACCAGCCATGAACCCACCTGACCCTCACCACTCACAATAAAATATTTTTTTTAGAACTGCTTTTTGTGTTTAATTCGTTGTCCTTCTCCCCGCACCTCCAACGAGCACGTTTGGCTGTGCACGGTGCGAAAGAAGTTCAACATACACATGCAACTCACCTGAGCCTCACCACTCATAAATTAACCTGACCATCGCTAATCACCGGTCATCTACTTGCCTAACCCTCACCAGTGAATTCACTTGACCCCCATCGCAAACCAGGACACTCATCTGACTCGCCACTCACGGCAACCCACTGGCTTGACCCTCGCCAAACTCACAGCCATCAGCTCGCCTGAGAATGTAAAATCTAGATAAGCAGTGTTACACGTGATGGTGTGAGATCAGGCGCTTCACTCACGCGTGAAGAAGCAACCATCTGTTCGCTGTCTCACTGTGTGTACTTCCCTGTCCCCAACTCCCCATGGTCACCCATCATCACTCCACTCTTCTCATTTCCATTTTCGTTTATTCCACGCATCGTCACCACCACCTAAGTTTACACACATCCCATCCACTCGTCTCGTTTCATCTCGCCAAACATCTTGTACCATAGTTGACTGTACAGCGCCTTTGTTAAAGCGCTTTATAAATGTATGAAATGTTAAGGCGAGACATGTGAACGAGGTGCCTCACTGATTTCCTCACTCGTCCCATGAATAAACACAGACAATGAAGTAGCAGGCAATGTTAACTTGTATTTCCGTGAACGTATTAAAAATACATTTAATAATTATCGTTCATTTAATTATCTTTTTTAGTTCTTCCTCTGCGTTCTTCCTCTGCGCCCTTTGCTTGCGATAGAGACGACATTTTCTGTTTCTTCCCAGGTCCTCCAAGGGCCGGCGATGCCGCCTTTGAAAAATAAGAATTAAATTGTGTTAAGAGCTAAAACTATCAACGAATGTATTTTATTAATTTTACCAGGTAAGGCCCACTGAGCTCTATAGCTCTTTTTCAGAAGCGACCTGGCTTCCACAAATGATAGCTCACCAAAGTGGCTTATCAGGTGGAAATTTATAGCAGCCAAACACTCCAAACGCATGTTTCTAAATGTGTACTGTGTATGCGCTGTACCATAAACTAAATACCGTACACGTGTACATATAATGCTTTCATTTGGTGATACTTTTATCAATGTTCCTCATGTTGCGTGTGACCAGGAGATCTGTAGAGTCTATTAAGTGGTAACAGCACTTGCTCATACAGTCTGTTCAGTCTATTCAGGGGGTTCTTTGTACGCACATGTGGAATATAGTGTACATCAGAGTATTGCACTTCGGTCCCCCCCCGCCCCCCGAAAAGTTTGAGCGTTCGCCACTTTGGAGGAGAAATCCTCCTTTGAAAGAGTGAAGGCCAAGACCGAGACAGCCAACAACGGCCGCTGGCACAGCGCTCCCAAGTGGCACGGACCAGACACAAAGAGAGAGCGCCGAGACCACCGAGAGTGAGCGATGAGGTCGATTTGTCCAGATACCGAAGCCTCAGCCAGCCTCAATATTGAGTTTCCCTTCGCGTTGCTGTGGAGGCAAACTCCTTGCGTGCTGAGACACCGCCCCCCCTCCACGGGACCGATGGACATCGGAGAAAGACGCTTGCGAGCTTTGATGGATGACCTGTCCGCCCGTCCTACATCCATGGGAAGAGATTCCTCATTCGCCACCGAGCGTAGCGAGACTGGAAGATCACCTCCATCGGGGAGAAGGGCTTCTCCTTGTCCAACTTCCAGAGGTGAGAAGAATTGCAGTGGAAGGCGGCGGTGCCAGAGGCCGACTGCTTGCGCGCCTTCCTCGACCAGCAATTTGGCGCGTGGTTTTTGTTTGTGGAGATCTTTCGAGATCGTGTCGGCGGGGTCGTCGAATGGAGTAGTTTGATCCGAGCAGGTTCAGTTGAGTTGATGGCTGGTGAGGACTCGGTGGGTTGGTGATTGTTGAGGGCGATGTGAGTTGGTGAGAGTTGAGTGGTGAGGGTCAGGTGAGTTGATGATTGGTGAGTGGTCAGGGAGAGGTGAGTTGACCAGTGAAACGGTGAGGGCCAGGTGAATCGCTGAGAGAAAGGCGAGCTGGCGTTTGAGTGGTTCAGGGTCAGGTGAATTGAGTGGTGAGCGTCAAGTAAGTGGGCGATTGGTTAGCTTCAGGTGAATTGATGACTGCCGAGGGTGAGGTGGGTTGGTGGGGGTAAGGTGAGTCGGGCATACCTGTCAACCCATTATCAGTGCCCTACCTTATTGCAAAGCAATTCAGACCGTATTGGTCACCCCGTGCCCTTATAAATCTCAACGTTCATCCGACAAAGTCCCATCACAAGGGAGAAACAAACAAATAGACACATTTTTTGTTGCCCGTATTGAAACGGCTGTTCGCCGTACGGACCTGAAAACGAAATGTCCTTGTACAAGAATACGGCTAGACCGTCTGGGTTGACACGGAATTAATTGGTGACAGTGAATTGTCAGGGTCAGATGAGTTGATATTGTTCGTGGTAAAGGTCAGGTGAGTTGGTGACTGGTCTGTCTAGCAGAGGTGTGGACTCGAGTCATGTGACTTGGACTCGAGTCAGACTCGAGTCATGAATTTGATGACTTCAGACTCGACTTGGACTTGCATAACAATGACTTTGTCCCACCTCTGCTGTCTAGTCAGATAATGTGATGAATTGTGAGATTCCGAAGAAGAGTCAGCAATTGATGAGGCTTCTGTGAGTTTGGGGAGTTGAAATTCTCCACTCTGCCACGTGGTGCCACTCACAACCCGCGCCATTTATCAGAGCTTCTCTCTCAAGGTAAAGTCACAGCGCTCTGGTGATGTTCCTTATTTACATATAGCCATACATATTGACGTGTACAGTATCAGCATCGGGTTATTAACGTTGCTGTTGTCATTGGTATCGTTTTTTGCTGTGGAATAAATGGCTTCGTTATGATAACGCGGCTATGTAAATGTATCGGTCGGTGTCCCGGACAGACACCTCTCTGGCGTAGATCCGCGGCCGGCATTGGCGCTCCTGTTCCGGTTCGGGGCAGTAGGCCTCAGAGGGTTGGCCCGTTCGGTCTTTTTGGTAAAATTTATTTGACTGTTTTGATTATTAGATTTAACCATGTGGTGTTTGTCACATCAAGGTGAACTTATCGTGTAACTCTTTTGTGTTGTCGCATTAATTCTGTATGTGACGCTGCGTCATGGTTTACGTTTACGTCTGTGAGCGTGCATACAGTACCGCACTTGCATGTTTTGTAAGTTATTTGAAATTGATTATAACAAACTTGATTATAACACATAAACATCAAGGACACATATATATTGCCTAAAAGTATGGCATCAAATGCCCCTCCTTCACGGTGATCTTGTTGTATTGCATTGGTGGGTTTGTGTATTGTACGTTCTGTGTTGTGTGTTATTGGCACTACTGCTTGCGTTTCGTGTTCAGCAGTTTTCCTATCTATACTGTAGCACTGTAGTGCAAATGGTATTTTATTTATCTAATCTCAGTGTTGCTTAATTCTTTAGTGGATCATGTGCACCCGAAAATGCGGGCCAATTCAGAGGTGGGGTGCCCCGGTAGGGCCGTTCCATGAATAAAACTCCACTGGTTCCATGAAGACCACATCCAGTGTCAAATGTGTCAACCCATACGGTGTAACCCGTATTCTTGTACAGGGAAATTGCTTTTCAGATCCATACGGCGTACAGCCGTTTCAATAAGGGCACAACAAAATGTCTTTCTGTTTCTCCCTTGTAATGGGAATTTGTGGGATGAACGTTGACATTTATAAGGGCACGGGGTGACCAAAAAGGTCTCTGAATTGGTCTGATAAGGAGTTGACAGGTATGCAGTGTGTTTAAAGATTGTAATTACATTTGTTGTGCTTAAAATGTAATTAGAAAAACATGCACATTGTATATAATGCAAAGCTGTAAATAACTTTTTTTAAGCTTCAAATCAAGATTGAACTTTATTTAAATATACGTCTGGGGATGGGACTTTACTTCCCTGTTCAATCGTTACTGTGTTACTGCCTGTACAGCTCTATCGCCGTAAAAAGTCACCTACTCCAGTTTACCAGCCACCTGGAAAATCATCAGTGATAAATTATGCCCTGACCATAGAGGTTGTTGGCTGGAGGATGGATTCTGCGACGTGCTGAGTATGCCCCCACGCTTGGCTGACCTGCGTTTAATGCTGTTTCTACTGCGATACACTACTTTTCAGACGTGTTTATTGCGTGTGTAATGAGCGACTTCCGCGACACGTCGTGTAGAGGGTACTTCTTTTATTTCTCACACTGGGCACAGCACAGGCCAACACTTAGATATTAACATCTCTATTGGCTACACACAGCCGATCACTCTGTGTGGTCTCACCGCCCTCACTCGGCTATGCCGCTGGCTGGCGGCATGCCGAGGATGGCGATGGAACCCCCGCAGGAGATCTTCCACGTGGCCGGACGACAGAGAGAGATGACGGCGAGCAGCGACGCAGCCAGGACCCAAGAATCCACACTCAAACCCCGAGCCCGCTCCCCCTTATATCCCCCCAGGCGTGACTAGGCTCCGCCTCCGGCCACGTCCTCTTGTGGAACCTTCGAGCAGGTTCCCGGAATATCTCGGCTAACCCCACCTTTGCCCCAGACACCTCTCCTTCTCTGATTGGTTGTTACTTTAACCGTGCCCGTGCTTCCCTTTCCCGTCCAGCAGATGTCACCATGTCATTACACATGTACCAATCTGCTGTGAATGTGACATTGGAAAGAAATATCAAGACAAACAGCAGGAGGCAAAACTCCCATCATGCCTTGTATACATGTCCTGTGACCACCACATTGCTTGTACATTGTCCTCAGCCTTGTCTAGACCACCAACTCAACAGAGAGCTGATAATGTGTCCGTATTGTTTAGGACATGGATGTGACCGTGGGGGTTGTGCCCTGGCGTGGTCAAGTCCTGGGAGGTTGCTGGCTCCAGTCTGCTCTGCTCTTTGCCCTGCTCATGGTCAGAGGTCATGCTGGAGCCAGGGCTACCTGGGCTGACTCTGCTGACCCTGACGACTTGGTGAACAAACCACACTGGCCTGTGCCCTACAGGTCAGGAGCAAGCCAGTGTCACAGGACACATGGTGGCTTTATTCATTTTCCATATTTATTTTTTACTTATTAAAATATATCACCTGTAAAATCCATTGAGATGGAACATCACGTTTGCAAGGGTGTCCAGGGTGTAGATTGATGCATAGATAGAAAACACATAATTACACGTATACAACATTTCAAAATATATAATGTATATGGTATACATTCACACAATTAAATCAGTGTTGCGTTTAGATTTCGGTAGCCTATGGTTATGAATAAGTGATCAGTGGCACTGTGCTATGAACCTGGAAACTTGTTTTATTTATGCACAACATCTGAAATAATCCTGGACCTCTACCCCCCACTTCACCATCCTGCATTGACCAGCTTGGTGAAGTATGATCAAACAAACCCCCATGATCAAAACAGCATGGGAAGGCCTTCCTCCAGCAGTTGATTGACAAAATGGCTGTACATTATGATGATTATTTCTATATTGTGATATTGCCACTGCTGCCAGTATTGTCAGAAATTCCATATAATCGATGTAGTGAGTTCTAATAATTTATTGAAGACGCTGTCGGCACGTGGAGCGAATAGTCGAACATCATGCCTAACAACACACGGTACAACCCAAAAATACGACGGACAGCTGAGCGAGGGCGCGTTGGCTGTGCGTATACAGACGTGTGAACTTCCGACCGACCCCGGACCCCTTCTGCCAAGCGCGCTACACGTTCTGCCCCGACGGAGACCCGGGGGGTTCCATCCCCGCCATGGCCCCCGAGGATGTGCTGGAAGTGTTCCTGCTCAAGGCGCCCGTCTGGGAGTTCAAGTTTGGCGACCTCCTGGGAAAATTTGTGAGCAGTCATGCTTTAGTTGTTGTGGTACTCGGCACTTGGATCACGGCCTAGTAATTATAACCTACGACCAAATGGCCCTCAATGTGCCCCATTTTGTCAGGTCTCAGAAGCCATGCAGCCTGGCTTATACTTGCATGGGAGACTGCCTATGAATAGCAGGTATTGTAAGGGTTAGGATACGAGGTGGCCAGGAGATATTGGTGGATTCTTGAATCTTTCACAAATTTGTCACTTTACCAATTTGTTCACTCCTTTCGCCGAAACATAATGTCGGTAGTCAAGGTGATGTATTGCTCAAATGAGCAATGGTGGTGGCAAAGATATAGCGATTTCAAAGCGGGTCCATCTTTTTGAAACACCCCGTATAATTGGCACATTTTTGTTGTAGATTTAAAATAATACATTCTTGCAAGCACAATTAGATGCATGTATTTAAAGCTTAAATCTATTTTTATCTACTCATAACTACGCGCTTACATTTTATAAACAGTCTCTAATGGGAAATAGCTTTACATTTTGGAATATTTAGATCTTTCGCGACTAACAGTAAAATAATGTGTTGGTATTATCTAATTTATATGAGTTCTGTAGGTCTGTACAATACCTGTCAAGCGCATACACTTATTCATACTCTTTTGTTCTTTCGGTAAAGTCACGTAGGTATAAAATGAAAGAAATTAAATCACGACGTCCGTCATCAGGTGGGCAACCACAGCAAGAAACAATTGCTGAAGTGGGCAAAAGGGCTGCTGTAACAAGAGGCTATATAGGTAAGAGAGGGGGGGAGGAGCTAAGGAGGAGAGATAGAGAGGGGGGATTGGGGTAGGAGGATTGTAGTGCTGCTCACTAGAGGGAATGAGGAGCGAGGGAGCAAGAACAAAATACCGGGGGAGGGGGGGGGGGTGAGAGGAGAAAGTGAGCGGGGCTGGGAGTGGGACCGGTTTCGTGGAAGACAATTTTTTCACGGACCGGGGGGGGGGGGGGGGGGGGGTTCATCATTGGGTCTTTCTCCCTTTTCAAAGAAGCTCTCCAATCGACGTTTGCTTTTTCTCATTTTTGCTCAGGTTAGCTTGTGGGCTTACCAAAACTGTGACTGAGACAAGTGCGCAGTGCGAGAAAGAGGCGCGGACGGAGGTGGTAAATAATAAAATAATGAGGCGGGCCACGCGCGGACTCACCGCTCTCACCTCCTGCTGTGTGGCCTGGTTCCTAACAGGCCACTGACCGGTACCGGTCCGCGGCCCGTGGATTGGGGACCCCTGCTCTAGATGACAATCTGTAAAGAATTATTATCTTGTTAAAGCTTCACTATTGTTGTATATATGGTCTCGATGACATGGATCAGATCCATGAACATTAACAAGAAAAATTGTAACAAAGCACGCAAAGAAGCATGGGAAATTGCATGCTCCTAATTGAGCAGGGAGACAGAGGAACATGTGGATTGGGGAACGAACACAAACCAGTCACATGCTGGCTGTAAACAATAGTAAATGAGATGATGTCCAGTGCTTAAAACTAATGATGGAGTGGCAGCCAAAGTCGGGAGCGTGCCCGAATTTTTGACGATCTTGGAGATGAAGCAGTGAAATCAGCAGGAGTTGGATAGATTGTTGCACCATGAGACTGAGAGATGGCGACTGCACGAGGCGCCCTCATTTCCTGAGTTTATAATCATGGCTGATGATAGGAAGTGACCCTTGTATGTAATGGGTTCAAGTAACCCCTGCTGTGACTATAGAGGTTGCTTCGTTCACCACAATAGAAGAAAGAATAATCAATTGTCGAATCAAATGAATCGTGACAGTTTATAGAATCTCTACTGTCGTAATGTGTTACAGGCAAACGATAGTGACGAAATCGCCGCTTCTCTTCGTATTCACGTCGTACTTATCGCCTCTCGCCAATCTGTACGCCCTCCACAGAACATTATGCATGATGCCATCGGGTTCCGGAGCGCGCTCACGGGACACGACTTCACACTCGAGTGGTACGAGCTCTTCCAGCTGGGGAACTGCACCTTCCCGCACCTGCGCGCCGGTCTCTCCGCGCCATTCTGGTGCAACCAGGGCGCCGCCTGCTTCTACGCCGGCCTGGATGAGCGCCACTGGCGAGAGAACGGCACCATGCTGAAGGTTGCCGAGGCCACAGGTGCGACTCGTTCAATGCCTTGCATTGAAACACCAAGGATAGTGAAATTAATACGTAGGTTTTCTCAGCCAATATTGTGATTTACATTTCATATTTGGGTTAGGCCATGCGATGATCTGGCCACCTTTGTGTCATTCAGACCCTCCTTCACCCGACATAGCCAAAAAAATATTTAATGCACCCATTATTGTATAGTTTGAATTCACTGGGTAAGATGAACAATTTTCACGAACGAAATTAGCAAATTGATACGTTTTGCAAGTGTTGTAAGTTGGCAGTCTCAGCCCAGTCATCAATGACTGCAGCAGAAAAAAACCCTAACACTACGTTCGCATCTGCACTTAATTTGTATAAATCCAAGGGATTTCAGAGGTCGCTCTGTGATATCTGCTGCAAACCATTCCCTAACATCAAAGGTTGCACTGCGCATTGAAAGATGCTAATTGATTCTTCGTCATCTTGAAGCTCTTATGGGCAAAGACCATTACAATTATTATGACATTGAGTGGCGGCAGTGTGGGAATGTCTTATTGCGTAAAACACCGATGTATGTGAGGATTTGCCAGTCAAGAGAGACGATAACCATAGTTTGGTCAAGAAGCAGGGAGCATGCCCGTAGCACGTTTGACAAATGACCTTAATATTCAGAGCGAAATTAAGCCCCGGCCTCCCATCCCTTCACAGGCGAGACGTTTAACAACTTGGCCAAGTGGGTACGGCACGACAACGACACGGGCGTCTACTACGAGACGTGGACGGTGCGGAGCGGTGAGGAGCTCAACGCCACCTCGTGGTTCGAATCGTACGACTGCTCGCGCTTCGTACAGCGCACCTTCAAGAGGCTCGCCGAGTTGGGGGCGATGTTCAAGCCAGGCCTGCGCACACACTACACGCGCCTCAACCTCTACTGCGGGGAGCCCCATTTCCTGGGGAATGCCAGCACCATCTTCGGGACGGCGTCGAAGGAGGCCATTAAGTTGGCAAAGGAAATCCGCAGCTTCTACACCAATTTCCAGCCGAACCAGTCGCTGCTGGGGCTGCTATTGAGCGTGTTAAATGCTTACGGGGAACTGGTCTTGCAGCACCGCTTCTTTCTTTACTATAACTCCGAGTACTGGTTGCTGCCCATGAAGCCGCCGTTTGTGAGCATAACATACGAAGAGGCACCGCTGCCTTAGCTAAAAACCCCGCCGCCATGGCTCTTGTGGCGATGGGCGAGTGTGGTTGTGCAAGGATGAAGTCACTTGGGATGCACAATTTTTACAATTGATCCGGCTATGCCTGGATAACTTCTGACCAAATCACCCAGAATGTGCCCAATTTTCATAACTTCTTGGAAGCTGAGTTGAGCCTGGATAGTGCCTGGATGGGCAACCACGGTGCATGACATGTTATAGGCTACGGGGCTGCATGGTGGGCAATGCAGCAAACACCATTGTACTATACTTCGATGCTTGCATTCACTAACCCATGACCCTACACGGTGGGGAGAGGCCCTCATCCAGCAGTGGATTAATAAGAGCTTCATATGTACACATGTTGAATGATGTTTTGACATGGTCGCACTGTGGGTGTGATGCACCATTGGGTTTGTGCTTTCCACAATTTGCAGCAAGTGATTTGTGGCCTCTTGAGTGAACGTTTTGATTGCACTGAACGATAGAAAATGCACTAACTGTACGTATCAAAATGAAATAGCAATAATAGATTAATGAAGATTTTTGTGAAGAGCACTGTCGTTGACTTAAACCTTAATGCTACACACAAATGCATTAGTTATGTAAATTTTGTATATGGTTGGAATAACCCTTTTAGGGCCACACCACTTTACATATTGTAAATTATAACCCCACAATTGCTTCAATCAAGTAACTTTTATTAAACTTTGACATTTTAAAACGTTTCACATCCGTTTATAAAACTAATACAATTACACTTTAAGATGTATACTGTCATCAATACAAGCACAGTCACAAGATGTACAAAAACTGCAGATATTTTTTTAGATTTGACACAGCACATGCAAAAACAAAAAAAAGTCAGTTTAAAAAAATTATAGAAACAAGAATACTCTATAAATACAGCCAGTGTCCGAACTGCATTGCCTGCCGCGGCACCCCTAATACAGGTGTAGGTGTGTACAAATGTGTGCCGGTGGGCAGGTAAGGCCGGTAGTTGAGGCAAGGGTCAGTAAAGACTTGTTTTCTTCATGACACGCAGGAACTCCTCCTCGTTTATCTCCCCATCACCGTCACGATCAGCCTCATCGATCATTTCCTGCAACCAATTGCGGCGAATTAAATCGGGGGTGGGCGGTCGCAAGACCGACAGATGGCAATGGCTTGTGGAGGCATTCATCCAACAGTGGAATGTTCATGGTTGATGTAATTGAGGCGCTTAAGTAGAATATCTGTCTTTCCGACAGCCCTGTTCTTCACCTGAGGACGGCTGCTTGTGTTGTGGCCGAAACGTTGTGATAATTGTATTTTATAATGTTTTATTTTATTTATTTTATTATTTCCCTTCTACGTGACTTTACCGAAAGAACCAAGAAGATGAATCCCTGCAGTCACGAAAGCTTTAAATCGAAATTTAGAATATCTGCATAAACATGTAACCATTCATCGATGATTGTCATTTCGTACGCATTTTTTATCCTGACTGCAATCGGTGTCATGACATTTGAATAATGTATTCGGATCACTTAGCAGTGCAAAGAATGGTTCTCAGAAGTGGAAATCGTAGAGCTACCACGGAGATCCATTCAAGTGATCTCTGGTCGATGCAGTCAGGGAAATCGGCATTAAGATTGAACTGAATCTTGTCCAACGCAGCACATTGAGGTGTTGAAGCATTACGTCTGCCTGAAATTTCTGTGCCTTTCATCAGACTTGTACCGGCAAAGATCCAGCCTCTCTTCTATCCGCTAGGTGTGTGTGTGTGTGTGTAAGATGTGCAGCCACTCACCTGCAGTTCCTCGTCCGTCAGGGTCTCCCCCAGTTCTTTGGCCACTCTCTTGAGGTTCTTAAAGGAGATCTTGCCCGTTTCATCGTCGTCAAATAGGCGGAAAGCCTTCAGGATCTCCTCCCTTGAGTCCTTCTCGCTCTGACAACACAAAAACCGATAGAACGTTGTTAATTACGTGATATTCGAGAAGATGCGCCAGTGTATTGCTTTCAAAGTAATTTTTTTGAATAATTATGTATGCATATAGAACTTATTTCGCACCATACATAGCCAACCGTGCTAATTGGAGGTGCGGGGAAGACACGTAAAAGCCAAATTAAAGACAATAAATGGTACGATTGCGACAATAGGATCGGTTCCAACATGCCTTGCATGTCACGTGATAAGGCTGCATTTACCGCTTCTCAATAGCTCCTTCGTGCCCGAGTTCTCTTTGAGCGAGCGAATACTGTGCGTGTTAAAAGTTGATATGAATAATGTTTGTTTTATACATAAGATCAAAGGGCAGACTTACCATCTTTTGAGTCATCATGGCCAGGAAGTCATTGAAGTTGATTTTTCCCGAACCATCCTTGTCAAAATCCGCAATCATTTTCTTGATCTCTTCCTTTTTGGGCTCAAATCCGAGTGCACGCATTGCCACCTGCAGGCAAAATTACATTATAATGTGCAATGCATTGTGTGACTGCTGAATGTACATTCCTCACATATACAATATCTATGCATGTGTATCATCATCGGTCCAGAGGAATCCATTGCTAGATGAAAGGCTACCCAAGCCATCTCCATCTCTGAAGGACTTGCATTCCAACAATCCAATTCACACCTGTAGGTAAGCTGATTTCATTGTTTCATATCCGCAGTGGACATCCTCTCGAGCGTATACCCTGCTTTGGATGCCAATCCATCTTTGTCTGACCAGCATCATCCCTTCAAACGAAGCATCCTGCCTAAGCCCACTTAACTATTTGAAATTTGACATGTTTTTACTTACATGCTCTGAAATCCATGTGTTTTTTTGTCTGTATCTCAGTGTACATGGGTTCAACATTTTTCATTTTAAATTTCAGCATCTGTAATTTTAGGTGCAAAAACATGCCAGGTAGTAGAAAATACTGCAGGCAGGCAGACAACTATAAGCAGGCAATGACAGAACATCCCTGGCAGGCAGGCAAACATTCTCAAAAGCAAGCAATGGTAGGTAGGCATCCTAACAAACAGGCATTGATAGGTAGACAGTGGTAGACAGGCACTCCAAAAGTAAAACAGGCAGTAAAAGACTGATCTGGCTGGTGACAGGCAAGACAACAGTATAGTTGTCAATGAAAGTTATAAACCGTATCTGCACAAATGGCAGATGCGGATACCTGATGCACAAACGGAAACTTTAAAACTCTCCAATGTGCGACTGGTCATCCAGAACAGACCGTACAACAACATATGACGCAATGCCCGTTCCACAAATACGAAGGAGACATCACAGCGATACACTACTCCACTGCTTCTGACGCGGTTATCTGGCTTGACCACCTGAATGTGAAATTGTAGTTGCTGCTCTGCATCTACATCAGCCGTACGAATGAAGAAGAATGCCACCCAGATATTGACTGGCAGGCAGTGACGGACAGGCAGCCACCCAAACCTTGAGCTCCTTGACGTCAATGGTGCCCGAGCCATCTGCGTCGAAGAGGTCGAAGGCCTCCTTGATCTCCTGCTTCTGCTCCTCGCTCAGCTCGGGCTTGGGTCCGCTCTTCTTACGCTGAGCACCACCTGCACCCCCCAGTTTCCTGAACCCAGTCGCCTGGGAGGACAGCAGATGTGGAACAGGATCAGACATCTACTCCAATACTCTCTTATGAATTGAGAGGTAGCCGGGTGGCTCACCGTTAGAGCGTTTGAGCTGGCGCCGCTGAGAACCTGGGTCCAAATTCAAGCTGACCCGCCCATCATTAAACTGGGTTCTAAAGTGTTGAGTTGATGGCCTCAGCCCAAACATCAATGAATACACACAAAAAACATCGCATGACATTGATTAAATTCCCGCTGAGAATTAAATGTTTGATTGTCATGCAACTCTACTCCGTGGGCCAGAGGTCACCTGAAGGGATTTCAGAGGTAGCTCTGTGGTGTCAGCTTCCGCGGGCCGTTTTCTAACACTAAGAGTTGCACTGCTCTGCGAGAGAAATTATATACTTCGTCTCGTGACGTGACACCAATAGCGCAATCACTATAACATTGGACAGAAAGACATTGAAATATCTCCCTTTGTTCAGGTCGTATGCCTTTGAATGTCGACTCCACCTTGGTTTAGCAGCCGTCATTGTTTCGTCATCCCTTTGATTCAAGTCGACCCATTAAGGTTGGATTCTCTCTTGAATCGAGTCTCCCTATTTAGAGTCGACCACCCTGGTTTAACTGGCGGCCCGAGCGATCATTAATGCAATCTAACGACTGCTGCCTTCCTTCCCAATCAGAGTCCGGTTTTCCAGATATCGGTGCTCGCGAATGATTTGGATTGATAAAAAGCAAACCGGTGTGCTGAACTGACACCTTTTTTACAAGGAGTCATGTTTGCATTGACCACAATATCTGCGGTCGGAATGCAAACAAAACACAACTCTGATAATGTGTGCACTGTCCTTGAAATTGATTGGTCCACACCAAAGACAGCTTTTCTTAGAGCCTAGTCTCATATGGTGTTGGACCAGATGACGCCAAAAGGCGCACAACTCAAAGACAATGCACCATCAGAGTATGAGAGCTCGGGGTAAGCATTTACACCATTGGAACCTCATTTGCCAGTCACAAAATATGATAATTGTTTTTTTACCCTTTTATCTGGCAGGTAAAAGGGTAAAAAAACAATTATATGTTACTGGCAAATGAGGTTCCAATGAGGTAACTAACTGGCATGTTTTGTTTACGTGACAACCCTCACTAATTTGGCTGTGTCGGGTGGTGGTGGGTTTAACGACACAATTATATTTACCCGATCTAACCTCAAGAAAAACTCTATTAGGCACAATGCCGTCTTGAAACGATTCGCGTGCCCCGTTTCACCAACCCGTGTGGCTAAACCACATTATGGATCAATCCCCATGCCCGATACGGCGCTGCGAGGCGGTTCATCGAGCAGTGGATTGACATCGGGCTGCGATTATAATCAATTGCAACAAAGACTGAACAATTGGTAGAGACAAGGGAGGCCAGACCTGGCTCGGGTTGAGACGATTTCATCGCTCCATCTCCACGGGCTATCGAGCCGCGCCGTACGCGTCCCAGACACCTTGTGGCCTGCCGCCCCATTCCTAAACTCTTAAACCATCCGACATCGTCCCAAGCCCGCTATACACTCGTCGCTTAACAGTGTCCACCACCCGGCTATAGCTTCATTGTAACGATATCGTGGCAATGATGGACGACCGGGGCGGAGGAGCGAGGCCCAGGCGAGCGGGGGGCAAGCAGGATGAGGGAGGCCCAAGTCGGGCCCAAGTCGGGACATTTGATCGGAGGGTGACGGACACCATTGGGCTAAACAACATCGCAGACTCCCCAACCTCTCTTCACCGAGCGAGACTCCGTGGCCTGCGTGTTGGTGGTGGGTTGATGATGATGGTGGGTTGTTGATGATGGTGGTGATGAGGAGGGACCCCCCTTCTTGAACCCGTTGTGGCTCTCTCCCTCGCCTTTCGCCGCTCACCATTGCGTGCACCCCCGGGTTCTGTCGATGGAGCGCGGGGAGGGTCGTGGAGTC